AACGAGGCGACTCATCGTAGAAACATGATCCAACGAGCAATATGCTATTAACTTTTCTTTGCTTTTGTTCTTCAAATGAATAAAAGCTGACATTTATCCTAAACCTAAAATCACAGCAACTCAGACGAGAACAACTTGATGCAAATTTAAAACCCGGCAAAATTTTCAGAAACTGTTCCTATAGCAAATATGCGGTTTGAAAAATAGCCTTAGCACTTGTACCGTAAAAAAGCCTGAAAGGTTGGTTATTTTGTGTTTAAACTAGATATAATTACAAATAATATATAACCTTTAATAGAACGTTTAATAGTACTTATGATTTTCAGTTTAAAGTCCGAAATTTTTGAGTTGCAATCAGAAACATTAACCTTTCTATAGCCCTTAATGTTTTGTATATTATGACAACGACCTTGAGAACCACAAGCGTTCCCAAGCATACATAGTTAAATACCATGACCGCACATAATATGTATTGTTGAAGGCAGAGTTATGCTCGACACGCACGGTTAGTGAAACTGATCAGTTGGACTGATCTGTTTAACTGATCAGTTAAAACGGATGTAAGCCAAAACGATTTCCCCACTCACTGGCTTCAAATTTAACTCAAGATTTCACAATCACGGTCAGTTTTTGGATGTACGTCAGATCAAGTGATCAGTTGAACTGACCGTGTATGTCGGCCATTATGTGTACCTAAAAACGCTTCATTCCTACCAAATTCACGGTTAAATTTTAATTTAAGCGTTGCTTTGTATTTGGCATATTTGATATATATTGCAAATTTTTAAAGTAGTCTTCCCCTGCAGTTGACCGCCCCGCAATAGCAATACAGAATTTTCCCAGGCACGGAACCCACGTCATAGTTGTAGTTCCAGGTGAGCTCCGTGCCGGCACGGATGTGGGAGAGCGCGAAGAATGCCACCCACGGGAACCGCGGGTCGTGCGTGTCCACAAACACGTTCTGGACGAACACGTTGGGACAGCAGGAGTGCTGTGGCATATTGGGATACACATTAGTATACGCATTCGTAAGTACCGTTGTATGTAAAAAAAAAAACAACAAAAAGATACCTGTAATGGTTACAACACTTAACTTCAAAAAAAAAAGAAGGAATTCCGCAGGTATCCTCTTTTTTGCCATTTTATCCGAATATAATTAGCAATTACATATAATAAATAGAATAAAAATTTCACATAATAAAAACGTAGGTACTTACATTTAGATATCGACCAATATTGCCTTGGACCTTAGCGTCCATGATGTAGCACGCCTCGTCCTTGCCGAAGTAGGAACGTACTGACCTGTAAACATATTTTAAATTCTAGAATAAGAAGTAATTATGTAATAATATTATGCCTTCCGCCTCAACATAAGTATGGTTTTCTCTCAACTCGCGCCTTAGAGTGAAGCCACGCGGGCGTTTTCGACGCATTAAGTGCCAAACGGCCATACGGTGATCGGAAGGCAACGTTGTTTACTACGCTCGCAACGCCGAGTCGCTGTTGATAAACGTTTGCGCAAACAACACACATTGCGCTTTTTCCTTCTCCGCTTTTTCTCTCTGGTTCTCTTGTCCGTTGCGCGTACGTTGTGTCGCAAGTCGCAGCGCACAGGGTTTAACACTGATTTATATGTAGAACAAAGCATCGTATGGTCTCGCTCTTACGGTCAGCAGATTAATGTAGAAAAAGCTAGTCAACAAATTAATATAAAATAGCAATTACGATTGTTAATTCGTTTGTAGAGCATAATTAAAGTAAAATAACGATCTTTCTATATATATAAATTATTTTATTTACTTTTACATTTTCGCGAATTTTAGAATAGTTTTAAAGTTGAACCCAATTATTTTGGGTTTTAAATGAAGTAAAATAGTAATACCATATCCAAATTTATGGCACTTGGCACCAAAGTACAAAATACAAAAATTAAATCAGTTAATAGTCCAATCGAAATAAAAGGTGATATTCATTATCAGCGCGCAATTTGAGATAAGAAAACGTAGAATTGCACTTCGGGAATCTTGTGCTCAACTTGTTTTCATAGACTAAACATTCTATAGGTATTTCAATTTAGGATAATTTCAAATAAAAGCAGAAGCCTTATTTACTCATATTTTCAAAAACTGCAATAACAGTATATCCTTATTTATATATTTCAACTTAAGTATAAAATATATAGTACTTTCTTTGAAAAATAAGTAAGTTTAACACCGTTCATGGTACCCAGGTGAACATATATAACCATATATGTTCACCTGGGTACCATGAAGCGAAATAATATATAGAAATCACTAATCACTTAAGAAAATTGTGAAATAACAAAAAGCGATAACGCCCCCCCCCCCTCCTCCTTCCCCTCCCTGTAAACATAGTCTAATTTTCATAATTTTCGGAAATGTTGTATATAAAATGAAAAACTACGGCTGTAGCGTTTTATTTTAAAGAAATATTGCATACGATACAAGTTGTTAGCATCTAAATATGTATATTTTGACTGAAAAACTTTCTTTTTAATTAAACTAAATTGAATTAATAAAAAAGGAAAACGTACAGACCTAAATTAAAGTGTACTGAATTTAATGACACTAATAAGACATAACATGACGAAATACTCAAACGCTACTCAATTTTGAGATGTCGTTGAGTCTCGTGGCGTCACAGTCACCTTGACTTAATAGGGACAGCACGAGACTTAACGGCATCTTAAAATTGAGCATCGTTTGAGTATTCGGTCATAAGAAAATTGTCTCATTTCGCAAAGCTTTCGTAAAGCAGGTGAAAACGTTATCGCCCGAAACAATATTTCAAAAAGGGAATGTAGGCAATCGCTTTCAAGACTTGCAACTTTCTCTATCGCACAATATGCCGATACAGTAATAGTAATGAAACAGATAGCATTTTTGAAAATACATACTCGCTAATCGTCGTATCGTCGATCGTCGTAAATATACCTCTTAAACCGAATTGTGCCAATGACTTACCTGTATTTTGATACCAATTGATTTGCGTCCATCCCCGCTTGCGCCGTAAATCGCGACGGCTCTCTCACTATGTAAAACAAAAAAATAATGAAGACGGGTGTTATGTGCGGAACATGTTTGTTATTATTAAAATATATGTTAAAGTTAGTTAAAGTTACAGCGTTCATACGTCCTACTGCTGGGCACAGGTCTCTTCTCATTTCTGAGAGAGTATTAGGGCAAGGAAATGTCAAAATATATGTATTTTGTATAATTAACTATGGTTAGACAGTGGTAGAGCCACGCGGCAGCTTTTGCTGTCGCACGGATGGGCCGGCTCGAACCGGGGTGGTACCACGACCTCACAGAATACCAGCGTGAAGTAGAGATTTACCTCTGCGTTTCGCTTGGCGAGTGCAGGTAGCCGGAGGCCCTTTTTACTGAAAATGAGGCATTCCATCTTAGTCCTCACGGGTGACAACGCATCTGCATATTGATTTTTAATAGAGGATAGATGTAGATGTCTATGGGCCGCAGCAGCCACTTACCATCAGTTGGACTGTGTGCTCGTTTGTCACCCTTATCCTATAAAAAAAAATGGTTGTGTAGTGGCGGCGTGAGAATTCCACTTCCAAGTGGGTTATGTCACCCCATGAGTGTCATTAGAGGCGACAGAGGATAACATGAACAGGAGTTGGCAGCAATCTGATAAAAATCCAGAAATAAAAATAAAAACTGCGTTGTCAAGCGCAAGTGGCCTGCCAAGCATAGCAACCACAGAGCAAATACAAAGAGGTGGTCCTTTTCTTCTTAATACTACGAAAATAGGACCGATTTGCGATTTTCGACACATAAGAGCACAGGACGAACGCTGACAGTATAATAAGTAAAGCCACGCCCACTGTGATGACGTCAGGACCTAGTTAGAAACAGTGCACAGTTGCTTATGCCATCTCCTCTTTGTATTTGCTCTGTGATAGCAACTATAGCAAGTATCCCCTGTGAAGAAGTTTATGGCGGAGGCTTATGATATGATACGAATGAATGAACTCTTATAGTTATAGTAAGAGCTATCATATCCCTTATATGATAGCTCTTTCTGCAAGTGCACCAGTTCGCATGAATTACTTGTAAGAATTGAACAGACAGGTGATTTATTAAATCTATATTCAAACTTTTTGTCTAATTCTTTAAAAGATAGTATTGTTTCATTGTAATACATAAAGCCGTTTTCATATTAAACATAATTTGCCTGAATAAAGATGATTATTATTATTATTATAATTTTCAATTTATTCTAGAACAGATATAGACAAAACAAACTTTTACCCTAAGCAATCTTTGGAGCAAATATGAAGTGGCACATCCCTATCGACGCCCCGCCAGATTGCATTGATAACAGTTTCTCATCTTCACAGTGTCAGTAATTCTGTCGTGGGGCAATGTGAAAATGTACAAGGTCTCTCAGTTGAAATATATTATTAAACAAAAACTGTATAAAAAGGGTTATTATAATATAAATGATTAAATCGTTGATAACTACCCCTGGGAATGAGGTGGTCGGTTCCAAGCAGTTTCTTAGATAAGTTTTGGATTTTTTTTTTAAAAAGTTTGTACAACCTGTGCTTTTATTGTATTATATATTTAGTTTAGAAAATAAGTCCCGCTGAGTTTCTTGCTATTTCTGTCCAAGACAGAACCTTCTGGTAAAAGCAAAAAATAAGTTTTAATAAGAATTACTTGTAATCTATATTAATAAAAAATATTCTATTCTATTAGATTTCTTACATGTGCGAATTTCTCGGAGAGCCAACTTCAGCCGACACGCCGGGCTAAGATAGAACGCGCTGACTTTACAGCAGAGAACTTTACGAAGCGATAATGAAGAAATAATCAATACATTAAATAGCTCACCCTCTTCGTCATCGCTTATAGTTATGCAGTCATCATCGCCGTTGTCTTTTTCCCCTTCATCCTTTTCTGTATCTTTTCTTTTTTCTTTTTCCTTTTGCTTATCCTTTTCTTTGTCTTTATTTTCCAGATTGTTGTAGCGCTCCTTCATGCGTTTTTCTCGTGTACGCAAACGTTTACTGTCAAGAAACAAAAATATAATATGATCCTATATAGCATCGGACAAATGTGGATAATTAATTGATACACAAATATATTCAAAATTAGCAGATACCCGCGACTTCGCCCGCGTGTAATTTAATAAGATTGGATTTTATGGTTTTTATTTTTATTTTTTTTACGCGGATTCCTAATTCTTTTTCTAAAATAAAAGTAGACTATGTTACTCCTTTTATAACAACAGCTACACAATGAAAGTCCCGTCAGTATCAGTCCAGTTATTTCGGAGATTAGCCGGAACAAACAGATGGACAGACAGAAATTTTAAAACTGTGTGTTGTTATAAGTACCGTATATACTATCAATACGCATTTAGAAAAAAGCTGTTATTTTGACATTACAAACAGACACTTCAATTTTATTTATTTGTATAGATAGCGCTTTAGTTTCAGGTTAATGGCATTTAATGTTATAACTTATAAGAAAACGGACGTCAGCTGAACTATTATTCTGCCTCTGCTATCTACTCACCTAAATTCCATAGAGCCCATTTCGAAGTACCCAGGCCGGAAGTCGTCATCTCTCTCATCTTTTGAAGTCTTTACCTCTTCTTCCTCAGAAGATGTTTCTTGTTCTTCAACAGATTCTATAGCAGAGGATCTCTATGGTAAAAAAAATACCCGTTTAGTAACCAAATCCATTTATTAATTACAGCCCGTCAAAAGTCCACTGCTGAACATAGGTCAACCCCATACACTACCTCATCGGGAGAGAGATCTATCAAAAGGTGCTTCATTTTCTGTCCTCTGTCGCCTCTTAAAAAACCCAGATAGTTGATTATCTTATGCCATTTCATTAAAATTATAAACAAATGCATTGTATAAACATCAAGAAAAGTAAGGCATACCAAATATAAATGATAGTGAAAGTTATTTCCCCCAGACCACCTTTATAAGGTGAATCACTAAAAGGAGGGTGGGGGGAGGGGGGATGATTTTCCAATATGCAGATGTAACTCCATAATTTATTTATATTGAATTTTTTTTATAACATATCCCTTCACAGAGTATTACAAAATTTTACTTAAGCAACCATTCACCAAAAATGTTTTACTTAAAACATTTCGAATTATTGTAGGTATTTACTCTTTCGGGTTCTTTGAGAAACTCCGGGATGTCTTCTTCGAAGCCCTCCTTCAACTGCTCCACGACTTCAATGTAGTCAAGCTCGGCGAGATACTCGTCGCCTTCGTTCAGGCCGTCCTGTAAACAAATTGGCTTCCTTAACTAAGTGATTACATTACTACGATGAGAACTATAATAAATCTTATTCTAAATGCAACGGCTTATATAACATGATCAAAACAAGTCTGTTGACTGAAAGTATGACGCATTGATTTGACCAGCCATAACAATTATACATAGGAGTCAGCGTCTTCTGTAACGTTACACTTCATAACATGTTTTATTTTCAGTAATCTAATATCAAAAACTTAATTAGCACAATTCGTGATCAACATGTCATTGTAAACTTATGGCTACTTGCAAATATCGTGTTTACGGAGTAATCTAATATCAAAAACTTAGGACAATTTGGGATCAACAGGTTGTTATGATGTTACGGTTACTTCAAGACTGTATAACTATAACTAAATATGTAGTAAGATTTTGATTATGTAGAGAACAGGGTACATACTTTTTTATTTGCCCAATTACGTAGGTATATAATAATAAATAATGGAGACTAAGCTAATTATAGTATTAAACATATAATAGACCAAGAGCTGAGGCAATACTTTTTTTAAGCTTTTCCCAGATTATTAAATTGTTATAATTATATATATAAAACGTCATTTGTTCAAAAAGTAGAGTAATAGGCACATAACTGGTAATAGAATATTCAGATTAATTACTCTTTAAAAGAAGACAACCATTACTAAGAAAAGATAACAGTAACGAGACAGAGAGAGAGGCAACTTCTAGGTGAAAATAACAGTAGGTAATTAGCGTCGTGCGACTTGAATTGCACTTGTGTCGTATAGCAAGAGTTGCTATTTATTTAAATGATTTTGCAAAGTGAATTTTCTGGCGTAGTATTATTACGTATTCTGTGGTGGTGGAGGGGGAGGGGATTGTTATTAGTGGATTACTTTTAAGGTTTTGACACTTGATAGGGGTGACAAGCGCGCGTACACGTGTGTGCTCGTGTACGGTGTAGCACGACTGGATCGGCTCGACGGGGGTAGGACCACGTTCTCACAGAATACCAGCGTAAAATAGCAACTCAACGCTGCTGTGTTTCGTATGGTGAGTGTAAAAGTATAAATTAACATGTATATATTTGAACTGAATTATATCATGACAACTGAACTGCCCAAACTCACTCTTTGTTTTACCCAAGGTTAGCTGGTAGAGAATGCCATATAGCATTAAGCTCGCCTTTTGTACAAATATTTAGTGCAATAAAGAATAAATAAATAAATAAAGAACCGGAGACCCTTTTTAATGGAACCGAGGCTTTCCATCTTAGTCCTCACCAGTGACATCGCATCTTTATTTTGATTGGTAATCGAGGATATATTTAGACCACTTACCATCAGTTGGACTGTGTGCTCGTTTGTCAACATTATGCTATAAAAAGTGGATGTTGCGGCCCATAGAAATCTACATTCATCCTCGCTTAAGATTTAAAATGCGGCTGCATTGGCAGCCCTGAGGACTAAGATGGAATTCCTCGTTAGCAATAAAATAGATGTCCGGTTGCTATTTGACTCCGGTATATGTAGTAATGTTGCTGGTAAGGTAATAGAGTCTCCACGTCGTCATTACAGGACAAGTAATAACAATAGACGATATTATGCCTTATAATATATTATATGTACATATAATATATATTATATCTAACAAAATATATATATATACACACAGGGTCATTTTGCGCAACTACCGGCTAAATTTGCAGAGAAGTTTCAGAATAAGTAATATAGACAAATGGTAAAGAAAAATTAATTTAAGAATCTCAAACATTCTCTCCTTTTCTACCGATTTCAAACAGGAGGAGGTACTCAATTGGACTGTAAGTTCTTTCTTTATGTGTGTTACCTCATTACTTTTTTCTGGGAGAACCGATTTCGATGATTCTTTTTTTATTTGAAAGCTGGTGCTTCTCATATGGTCCCATATAAATTTGATCAAGGTCTGATCAATAGTTTTTGAGTTATTCTTAATAATTTATATTGAAGTCGGTTGTACAAGTTTTTATTTTAAATTATTATCTTTTGAATTCAAAATTCGTGATATGAATATGCATTGCACTGATATTCATAAATATCTGACGCGTACTATTTTACGCTCGCATACATTCATAAGGGTCGCTCGGTAAGGTACTTTGTCGCGCATTTCCCTCGCGCTTCCCTTTTATTTACCGTTACACCACTAAGTATCTACGTCCACTCACACGTGCGACAGCTGACAGTGTTAACCGTGACCTCATTACGTATGTTTCGTTACCAATGACGTAACGAAAATATTCGAACCGCGGATACTATGAAATGGTGCGATATCCTATATTTAAGCAATGAAAGTTTACGTGGTGTGTAAAGATACTAAAGTGAGTCTTTATCGCGGCAAGACATTAACGTACGTGTACCTACCAATCGAAGAACAATTGACAGATAATTAAACTATTAAGTGCAGTGAGCGATATTTAAATAATTACCCACAAGAAAAACGGATTCCATTTTGAGCTACCAATATTAGATATTGGGACTACTTGCGTAATTTCGTTGTAAATAGTTTATTTAATTTTTTTTTTAAATATTATGGCGTATTTAAGGACAGTCGTCGGTTACATCGGAGATAAGCAAAACTATATTTTTTAAAATTGGATACATAATTCACGTCATGTAGTTATTATCGTAAGCATTAGTAGTAAGCATGTAACTAAGAAAGTAAACAGTAGGAAAAAACTTTGTAAATTGAATCACACATACAGGAGCACTGTACGAGTAGTTGTTGCCCATATCATATCATCAGACAGATCTCTGGCAAAGACTTTGGAGCCTTGGTTCCGCTCGATCGCTTCTTTATAAAAGCTGTATTGAAGTTGCGTAAGTCCCGCCGCATGCATTTGGAGATCTGTCTGTTCAGTTGCCTGTATGCTGTCAAATCTGTTGAAGAATGTAGCTTCATCTCCCGTCTAACAGCCATGAGATTGAGAGTGTGATCGGAGAGTTTTTGTGTTCCTCTGCGGCAGGTCTTGTAGAACTTAGCTCCGACCGCATGGACAGTTTCCACGAGCTTGTCATTCATATCGTCCACTTCATTGCAGTTTTCTAGGCACTGAAAACGGTTTTGTAACTCGAGCTGAAAGGTTTCAGGACTTTGGAACAGAGCACGAGGAGGACGGAGCGTTGACTTCATTAGACGAGACCTCTCCAACTTAACGTTTAGGTTCACGGAGACATCACTGAACAGTTGTCGTCTGGTCGTCATAATGAAGTCAATCTCATTTTTTGTAGAACCGTCGGGGCTCGACCCGGTCCACTTCCTGTGGGGCCGCTTCTGGAAGAAAGAGTTCATCATAAAGAGTCCCTCTTTCTCTATGAAGTCTGCCAGCTGCTGGCCCCTTGGGTTCCGTTGCCCTATTCCAAATTTCCCTACTTTCAGCTCACCGTTCTCTCTTGTGCCTAGTTTTGCATTGAAGTCTCCCATTAACACCGTATATTGGGTTTTGGAGGAATGCATGGCTCTAGAGATATCCTCATACATTTCCTCCACCTCCTCATCGGGGTGTGCCGAGGTTGGTGCGTAAACCTGTATGACCTTCAACGAATACCATTTGGTGATTCTGAGTATAAGGTACGCAACCCTCGTCGAAACGCTCTCGATCTTTACAACGTTGTTAACGAGAGACTTGTGGACAATAAATCCGACACCTCCTTGGGACAGATGGTGATAGAGCAAGTTGCCGGATTCGAGGATTACCGTGTCCTCCCCTTCTCTTCGGACTTCGGATAATCCTATAATATGCCAACGTAACTTGTCCATCTCTTTTTCCAGCTCCACGATCTTCTCGTCAGTCCTCAGGGTGCGTGCGTTGTACGTTGCCAGGTCGAGTCGTCTAAGGTGACAACCGAACCTCCACCGGAGATTCTTAGCACCCCCTGCCCCGCCGTTACCATGGTCGCCACCATAGCCAGAAATAGCGGGGCCGCCGAGGACTGGAGGCCGTTTATTATTGTCATTGCTCATGGGGGGTATATTGCCATAGTTGCCACGCTTGGCGAGCGGGTTGGCAACCGCAGTTTTTTTATTCTAATATTTGCTGTTATCCGGAAGATGCTGCTGCCCATCTCCTGCCTGTTTCCCTTTGTCGCCTTTTACGACACCCACGGGAAGATATGGGGTATTGGATATTCTTGACCGCCACTACACGGTTGTTGCCCATAAATCACATTCAATTTGGGATAGTTTCAATTAAAAGTAGAAGCCTTATTTACTCATATTTTACAATAAAGTAATATATTATAATAATAGTAGTATATAATAATTTATTTATTTGAACTTCAATATTAAGTTTGGCTACTCTTTGAAAAATAACCCTGTATATATTATGCTGTGCTGCACCCGGCATCCGTTACAATGTCTTTTTGTACGAAATATTCACGGCCACGCACTCATCAGCTCATTAATGTTTCTTCGTAGTCGAAGGAATAACATAAGAATGGCCAGAAAAATGAAAAAAGTAACAATATTTTTTTTAATATTGGAGACCTTCGCGAGAGTGCACACTACTCCTCACCAAATTTTCATTGTAATGTGGTAAAAGAACGAATGAAGGAACGGGACAAGATAAAAAAACATTTATATAAGTAGAGGTTATTCAGCTATAATTATATACTCACCAAGTTTGCGGTTGCATCAGTCAGTAAATTTCCCGCATAAACACACAGAAATGCTCCTTTTGGTACGTCATTGAGTGCTCGTATGCCCCATCCACGGTTGAGAGTTTTGAAAACCTATAAACGTACAAAAGTGGTCGATGTCTTACTCATAATCAAATTAATCTTAATGTCCTTGTTATTAAGAGCTATTATTAATTACTTCCCAATCATAGAACATAGAAACCTCAGGAATAAATCGAATACACTAAAGTTTTATCTTACATCTTTGTAGTCGCTGGAATCCGGACTTCGGCTTTAGGCCGTAACATATTGAGAAATAAAATTCACCTTTTACCTTTCTTCATTCATCGTTAAGTCGCTTTATGTACGAGGGAAGGTCAAAAAGTTGGCGATGGTGAATTTACTATCCAGGTAGCTAGTTGAGTGACTAATTGTTAGTATATATACCAAGTTTAAGTCAATTCGGGTCATTAGCTTTTGAGTTATGAACGAGTAAACAATTGGGAAGAAACTAGCCACTATGGAGAAAATTGAATATCGCGTCGTCATTAAGTTTCTCACCAAACAAGGAAAGGCATCTTGGGGACTCCGCTCCTGGGAAAACCATGATTTATAAACGGCACGCCCTTTTCAAACAAGGGAGGGACTCCATTGATGACGACCTCCGACCTGATGCTACCATGCCAAAAATAATCGAAAAAGTTGAAAAACTGGTGTTGGAAGATGTCCGGCTAAACAAAAAACTGCTTGCAGCATTAGTGGAGTATCAGAAACAACCATTTTAAACATCCTACATCAACACCTTGGCATGACTAAAGTCTGTGGAAGATGGGTTCCGTGAATGCTTTCTGCGCATCAAAAACACGAGCGCGTCGAAAATTGTCGTGAGTTTTGGGACCGCTGTGGAGAACAAAGGGAGAAAGTTATGGCCCAAATTGTAACTGGCGATGAAACTTGGGTTCACTATTATGAACCTGAGTCAAAGCAAGAGTCGATGCAGTGGCATAAAAATGGCCTAAGAAGTATAAGGTGTCTCAAACGGCCGGAAAGATCATGGCGACGATCTTTTGGGATACAGAAGGTATCCTTTTGATTGTTTACAAGGAACGTGGTGTTTCCATAACGGGAGAATACTACGCTTCTTTACTAGATCAATTAAAAGAAGCTACTAAAGAAAAAAGGCGAGGAAAGCTTACAAAAGACGTGCTCCTTTTGCACGACAATGCGTCAGTGCACACAAGCCATGTTGCGACGGCTGCCATTCACCGGTGCGGTTTTGAACAACTGCTCACCCATCCTACAGCCCAGACCTGGCCCCAAGCGACTAATATTTGTTTCCAAAAATGAAGAAAGAACTGCGTGGGACAAAAAGAATTTTGAAGTTAAGTCGGTAATTTCGGCCTATTTTGATGCCCAAGATAAATCGTTTTTTTAGACGGTATAAACAAGTTATTTGACAGATCTAATAAATGACTCAGGGTTAAAGGAGAATACATTGAAAAGAAAAAATAGTTTATTGCTTCATTTTGTTATCCTTCCCTGTCATTCCGCAAACTTTTTGACCTCCCGTCGTACCATATACGAATTAGATTTAACTTACTTGTAGTTTCAGCTGGAGAGGATGTTGCGCCACTCGATTTAAACACGTATTTTTACATTTACACCTGGAACCAAAACGTGCATTTAACACATTTGTTACTATATTTATTACTTATTGTCATCATCATCGTCATTAAGCTTATCAAAGTATACAAAAGTGAAAGAGTTCTGCAAAAGCAATCTGTGTTGCTTAATAAAGGGGATATTTGCCATAGTTGCCAAGCTTGGCAGGCGGATTAGCAACTGCAGTTTTTTTATTATTTTTAGTTGTTACTGGAAAGATACTGTCGCCTATCTCCTGTTTCAAATTCTCTCTGTCGCCTCATACAACACCCACGAGTTAGCAACGCAGTTTTTTATTATTTTTAGTTGTTACTGGGAAGATACTGTCGCCTATCTCCTGTTTCAAATTCTCTCTGTCGCCTCATACAACACCCACGAGTTAGCAACGCAGTTTTTTTATTATTTTTAGTTGTTACTGGGAAGATACTGTCGCCTATCTCCTGTTTCAAATTCTCTCTGTCGCCTCATACAACACCCACGAGTTAGCAACGCAGTTTTTTTATTATTTTTAGTTGTTACTGGGAAGATACTGTCGCCTATCTCCTGTTTCAAATTCTCTCTGTCGCCTCATACAACACCCACGAGTTAGCAACGCAGTTTTTTTATTATTTTTAGTTGTTACTGGGAAGATACTGTCGCCTATCTCCTGTTTCAAATTCTCTCTGTCGCCTCATACAACACCCACGAGTTAGCAACGCAGTTTTTTTATTATTTTTAGTTGTTACTGGGCAGATACTGTCGCCTATCTCCTGTTTCAAATTCTCTCTGTCGCCTCATACAACACCCACGAGTTAGCAACGCAGTTTTTTTATTATTTTTAGTTGTTACTGGGAAGATACTGTCGCCTATCTCCTGTTTCAAATTCTCTCTATCGCCTCATACAACACCCATGGGTTAGCAACGCAGTTTTTTATTATTTTTAGTTGTTACTGGAAAGATACTGTCGCCTATTTCCTGTTTCAAATTCTCTCTGTCGCCTCATACAACACCCATGGGTTAGCAACGCAGTTTTTTATTATTTTTAGTTGTTACTGAAAAGATACTGTCGCCTATCTCCTGTTTCAAATTCTCTTTGTCGCCTCATACGACACCCACGGCATGATATGGGGTAGTGGATTTTCTTACGCCGCTAGCAATAGAACAATTACTTTTGTTCATGTGTAAGTGTTTGTAGTTGCTTCTAAACACTGGATAAATTCCTATAGTGAATATAACGTGTTGAATAGAAAATAAAACGTATAGCCGTAAGTCACTTTAATAATTTAGCGGCTTTCACTTTTAGATTTGAGTTTTCGATTCGCCATTTACAATTCTAACTAAATGTTATTAAAATACCTGGAGTTACATTCATAAATCCCGGAAGGCAACGGTTCAGGCAATCTTCTGTACACGTAGCCAACATCCCCGTCTAAACCAATTGTTCGTGCGCCCTCTAGCGTCATCCTCCAACAAGCACATTTTGTTTTGTCCTGTTAAAAGAGTTTTTAATCTTATTTGCAATTCTCTAATCAGAATATATATCACATTTTTAATTAGTAGTAAGAAATATTCAATCTTAGTTTAAAGAGTAGGGCTTTTACTGTCTAGCAATTATCTAGAAAATTATTGTGCGATTTATGCAAGATTTTTGCCCCGCGTTACTGACACGCTGCATCCTTTTCTACTACCGATTGTATGTAATAACTGGCAAGTTTATTTTTTATAAATGACAAAGAAGTAACAAATGAACTTATTGTCCACCTGTAGGTATGGACTAAGTGTATGGATACCAACTTAGAGCCAAGAAGGCTACAAATTCGTAATCATCTCTGAGGACTAAGATGGAATATCTAACAGCGTGTTATTATACTGATTCTCTATACCGGACACACTCAGATTGGAACACGCCAGCGCAAGCGCACCTATTTGGCGGTAGAAACAGGTTAGAGAACCTATCCAGAGTTCTTAGCATTAAAAGAGCTTTACCCCAAAGAGTGCCTCTATTGTGTGTTGTTAGCGCGCAATATTATGGCGCTGTATTTGCCGAGTAGTTGATAACTTCCGAAGGTCAAGCTAAAGAACATAATCTTCTTCCTCTTCTTCTCACAAATCACAAAAATCTATCTTTGATAATTAGGGTATTCAAAACATGGTGACATTTTGACAAAATAGTATAGCGTCTGGTAGAAAAGCAACCATTCAAAATTGTTCTGTAAGTTTGCTCACTTTATTTTACCTGCTTTAATGGCAACATTGTTTCGTGATTTTTCTGCACATCTATAGGACAGTACTTTTCGATTGATATAAATTTCATTACCCTCTTCTTACAGTCATCATCATCATCATCATCATTACCAATGATGCGAATCGGTTACTGAGTTATTGGAACAACATTATCTTTAAAATATTGAAGATTTTTTTAAATAACAGTATTTTGACAATTATATATCTATTATAATGTGTCATAAAATTTTATAAATATTATTGCTACAATAGTGCAAATAGTATTAAATGTTTTGCTTCTCAGGTTTCACTTTCGTTTTTTTTTTTTGTTGATTATTATGCAATGTCTGTAATTTTTCTAATAATCTTATTTTATAATTTACTTCTTTTATTTTACATTAACATTTTTAAATTCAATAATTTTGTACACCGGAAATGGTTAATGTGTTGTACTATATTTTTTATGACAAGTGTGAAACACACACATTTTGCAAAATAAATCCATAATCCACTGCTGAGCATAGGTGTCCTAATAGATTGCTCCATAGGCAGCTACGGCAAATATGGGGTTATTTGCTATATATTTTCCACAGATACCACGCTTTGCAGGTGGCATGTTGGCAACCGCAGTATTTTATATTATAGATGTTATTAGGAAGTCGCTACTGCCCATCTTCTAGTTTGTTTCCCTCTGTCGACTCTTATGACACCTCCAGCCCGATATGAGTAATGGACATTTTTACATCACCACTACACGGTTTATCTTTTATTATAAATACTAAAAAAACTGCGACCACTTTCGGTGTTCACATATTGTTATAACAATAATTTGAAATTACACTCCTAGAATGTACCATTGGTCTCGGAACTGGTTTAAAAGATAATTTGCATGTGTGTGCATGGGCATGCATGTGTGCGTGTGTGTGTGCGTGTGTGAGTACGCTACCTCGCAGTCGTCCTCGCAGTCGCAGCCGCACAGGAAGTCCGGGTCGATGTTGAGCGGCACGCCGGCCGTGGGCGTGCGTTCAGTGTTGTACGAGCAAAACTCCGGCAAAGACTCGTCGTAGTAGTTCACGCACGGCACTGGCACGTTTTCTTTGCCATGCGATAGGTCCTGTTTAAAAATTGTTGTAATTTTAGCGTGTTATCGTAGATAATCGCATCACTGAGCCTAACCAACTCAAGTTGATATTGTTTTTTATTACCAGTTATAAGTCTATGCTTGACTACTATTCTACATGTCGGTAAGTGCTGTGCGAAACCAAAGCTGGTGAAGCACTCTTGTCTAACTTAATAAATGCCTAATCACGTCAATCGTAAGACTTCATACTAAAGTCATTAACTCAGTTATGGGACCCATTTTATAGATACCTATCACATAATGCAAGAAGGTCGAAAACTCGAAATCAATAGTTATATGCATATGGATACATAAAAAACTTTAATCGTTCATTTAGTTTTATTTCGTAACTCCATAAGGCTCATGTGTTTTATTATAGTTTTACTATAGTAATACATTCATTTTTATATATACTAGAATTGCCCCTCGTAACGTCAGTGCACAATTATCTTTTGTTGAAATTAATGATATAATGAACCTTACATATTATTCGATTAAAAATCGTGATGGAAATCAATCACATGGTTATTAGAATTCAATTTTACTTAGAGCGTCATACAATCTTTTCCCAATATTTCAAAAGAATACCGAGTAAAATCGTGGTGGGTAAACACCAAACGCTTGCAAATGATTCCGTTTACGTGACACTTCTACACGGGCGTACCGGTACGCAAGCGAAGCCGACCGGTACTACCGCAGACGTCGCGGGCAGGGGGGACTCCGCTCTCCTTCATACCATAGCCCATCATTGCTCCATCTAGTCGCTGAGTTGACTCACTATTAGTACTTATTATTAAGCCGCGTATCGATTATGCGCTCCTGGCGCGCGCACCATGAATGACCGCGCCGACCAGTGCGTTCCGCGGAACGCGTTACAAATGTTCAAAGTATATCAACTAAGCGCTTCTGGCGCGCGCGGCAGCTGTTCCAGTGTTTGACCGTTCAACATGGTTGTCGGTCGTGTACGAGCAGCTGCCACTTTCATAGTTCTCTCCATGCATCTTCTCTGAACGCTTTATTATGATATAACAAGTGGTAAAATTAATAATTTTGTACAACCCATTTCAATATAAATTATTAAAGATAACTCAAAAACTAGTCGTCAGACCTTGATCAAATGTATATCAGACCACATGAAAAGCACCAGCTTTCAAATAAAAAAAGAACCATCAAAATCAGTTTACCTAGAAAAAAATTATGAGATAACAAACATAAAAAACATACATTCGAATTGAGTACCTCCTCCTTTTTGAAGTCGGTTAAAGACGACTTTTGCTATTCCACGGCAGTTACTTTGAACGATATAGTTTTATCAATTTACAGCAACTTTGATTATCCATAGCTCGGAACGCAACGAACACACGAATGATGAAAACAACCGTCCCAACTGGCGCGCGCGCCAAAATATAATTACTTTGATACGCGGTAAAAAACCGACAGCAGATGGAACGGCCCGCTCCACGTTTGAGGGTTCCAACGAACAATTTAGCGCGGCAGTATCCATTTCACGCGACTGGAACGCGCGCCAATGTTCGACCTCTTGGAGCGCATAATCGATACGCGGCTTTACACATAATATGGTAGTAGTGAGGATTTTTCATTATAGCTTTTGACAAACCTCAATCATTCCGGATTGAATTATCTTTTAGTGATTGTTTTGTAAAATAATTTCAATAATTTCAAACGGGCAGTCAGCTCTTACTGGCTTGCCTTTTTTGGTATAAAATAATTACCCAACACTCTTATATTTTGAAACCTATATCTTGAAATGGTAAGCGGATGCTGTGATGGATATCTTTTATTACTAATGATATCATAAATGAAGCATAAATATAAAATTGAATCAATCATGGAAAGCTAAGCAAAAAGGCTCAAAAGAAAACGCATCTAAGTCATATTGGTGTGAAGTAGGTTGCAGGTGGGCTACAGTAGCCAGTTACGATCATCTGGACTATCAGCTTTGTAGTGACGTTGCGAAGTCGTGATGTTGTGATGTTGTGATGTCATGATGTATGGTATCGTGATGAAGTTATCTCGTATAGTTGTTGTGTCGTGATGTTATGACGTCGTGATGTTGAGGTGACGTGATGTCGTGTTGTTGTGGTGTCGTAATGTCTTTTGTTGTAGTGTCTTGATGTTGTGGTATCTTAATGTTGCGACGTCGTGATGGGGTGTCGTCACGACGCGAGTGCGGCGCTCACCTTCTTGCCGACGAGGCACTTGTTGAGCACGAACTCGGCGAGGCAGTGCGTGGAGGGCGCGAAGTCGAACAGGTCGACGGACATGTCGGAGCGCACGGCGCGCAGGTAGCGGTGCAGCCAGTTGTAATGTTGTGACGTCGTGATGGGGTGACGTCACGACGCGAGTGCGGCGCTCACCTTCTTGCCGACGAGGCACTTGTTGAGCACGAACTCGGCGAGGCAGTGCGTGGAGGGCGCGAAGTCGAACAGGTCGACGGACATGTCGGAGCGCACGGCGCGCAGGTAGCGGTGCAGCCAGTTGTAATGTTGTGACGTCGTGATGGGGTGACGTCACGACGCGAGTGCGGCGCTCACCTTCTTGCCGACGAGGCACTTGTTGAGCACGAACTCGGCGAGGCAGTGCGTGGAGGGCGCGAAGTCGAACAGGTCGACGGACATGTCGGAGCGCACGGCGCGCAGGTAGCGGTGCAGCCAGTTGTAATGTTGTGACGTCGTGATGGGGTGACGTCACGACGCGAGTGCGGCGCTCACCTTCTTGCCGACGAGGCACTTGTTGAGCACGAACTCGGCGAGGCAGTGCGTGGAGGGCGCGAAGTCGAACAGGTCGACGGACATGTCGGAGCGCACGGCGCGCAGGTAGCGGTGCAGCCAGTAGTAATGTTGTGACGTCGTGATGGGGTGACGTCACGACGCGAGTGCGGCGCTCACCTTCTTGCCGACGAGGCACTTGTTGAGCACGAACTCGGCGAGGCAGTGCGTGGAGGGCGCGAAGTCGAACAGGTCGACGGACATGTCGGAGCGCACGGCGCGCAGGTAGCGGTGCAGCCAGTTGTAATGTTGTGACGTCGTGATGGGGTGACGTCACGACGCGAGTGCGGCGCTCACCTTCTTGCCGACGAGGCACTTGTTGAGCACGAACTCGGCGAGGCAGTGCGTGGAGGGCGCGAAGTCGAACAGGTCGACGGACATGTCGGAGCGCACGGCGCGCAGGTAGCGGTGCAGCCAGTTGTAATGTTGTGACGTCGTGATGGGGTGACGTCACGACGCGAGTGCGGCGCTCACCTTCTTGCCGACGAGGCACTTGTTGAGCACGAACTCGGCGAGGCAGTGCGTGGAGGGCGCGAAGTCGAACAGGTCGACGGACATGTCGGAGCGCACGGCGCGCAGGTAGCGGTGCAGCCAGTTGTAATGTTGTGACGTCGTGATGGGGTGACGTCACGACGCGAGTGCGGCGCTCACCTTCTTGCCGACGAGGCACTTGTTGAGCACGAACTCGGCGAGGCAGTGCGTGGAGGGCGCGAAGTCGAACAGGTCGACGGACATGTCGGAGCGCACGGCGCGCAGGTAGCGGTGCAGCCAGTTGTAATGTTGTGACGTCGTGATGGGGTGACGTCACGACGCGAGTGCGGCGCTCACCTTCTTGCCGACGAGGCACTTGTTGAGCACGAACTCGGCGAGGCAGTGCGTGGAGGGCGCGAAGTCGAACAGGTCGACGGACATGTCGGAGCGCACGGCGCGCAGGTAGCGGTGCAGCCAGTTGTAATGTTGTGACGTCGTGATGGGGTGACGTCACGACGCGAGTGCGGCGCTCACCTTCTTGCCGACGAGGCACTTGTTGAGCACGAACTCGGCGAGGCAGTGCGTGGAGGGCGCGAAGTCGAACAGGTCGACGGACATGTCGGAGCGCACGGCGCGCAGGTAGCGGTGCAGCCAGTTGTAATGTTGTGACGTCGTGATGGGGTGACGTCACGACGCGAGTGCGGCGCTCACCTTCTTGCCGACGAGGCACTTGTTGAGCACGAACTCGGCGAGGCAGTGCGTGGAGGGCGCGAAGTCGAACAGGTCGACGGACATGTCGGAGCGCACGGCGCGCAGGTAGCGGTGCAGCCAGTTGTAATGTTGTGACGTCGTGATGGGGTGACGTCACGACGCGAGTGCGGCGCTCACCTTCTTGCCGACGAGGCACTTGTTGAGCACGAACTCGGCGAGGCAGTGCGTGGAGGGCGCGAAGTCGAACAGGTCGACGGACATGTCGGAGCGCACGGCGCGCAGGTAGCGGTGCAGCTCGGCCATGCAGCGCAGCCGCCGCCCGCACGGCGCGCGGTACATCACCTCCTTGTGCCCCTTGAAGCGCACGATTTGCCTGCCCGCCAACATACGCTATTTCATGACTGCCTTATGCCTCATAAAGTGCACTACATATACAGGGTTATTATGAAATGTATGACCAAATTTGCAGCATAGGTTTAGAATAAGTAATATAGGCAAATGGTGAAAAAAAAAACGAATAACTAAATCAAAAAAATTTTTTTAATTCAGAATGTGTGGTAATGGATTATTTTAACTGATCGGCATTCATAAATATCTAAGGCCTATTTTATTACGCACGCATATATTCGGAAGGGTCAATCGGTTACAAAGAACAATGGCAGACTTTCATACATAAAATTAGTTGAGAAGAAATGGTAGCGTCTATATATCAAAAATATCTTAAAATGTTAAGTGTCAGTCCCTTAATAACAATGTCAAAGAATTTTGTCCTGAGAAGGCGTCAAAAAAATAGATATTTACATTTGAACCTTTTTAGGTTATGTCCTATGTCACTTGGAAAAAGTCATGCTTCCTGTGGTTGTTTGATGTTAGCTTAATTCATAATACATAATTGAGAGTTTTTAGATTATTGTATCTCTATTATATATTTGCATACTATAAATGTATATTTCTGGCATGGCCCCAGGGCCTTTGTATCATAGTGACATTCTCAGAAGGGCTAGAACCCAGAGCCGTAAAACTAGTAAAAAAAACAGTGACATTTTGTTTTAGCTAGTGTTGGCATAACATTAAATGGAATTTTTACATAGTACTATGATTGAAATAATGTATTATTGTGGGAAATTCTTTGTAAGAGACTTATTCTCAGCCATATCACTTTTATTTTTTTACTACTGATAGGACAGTTATTACCAGCGTTATTACCAGTTATTGACAGTTATTACCAGTTATTACTCGCGTCGTGACGTCACCCCATCACGATATTGTCAGGGGGTTTCATGCTGGTCTACCTTTCCGGTGATCCTGTTATGGAATACGGGTACGCGACCCCGGCTCCCCGAGCTACTGTTATTCTCATACCTTTCCTGCCGAGATAACAGTATCCTTACACCTATGCTCCTACCCCCAAACTTCTTTTTCCTTTTCCCAAAATGGTAGCTTCCTCTACCAACAATAGCATACCCAAAGAGGGTTGGTGTCAGGCAGGCGGCCGACTGTAAAACTTTTGCCAAATCCCATGCAGTAAAGTACGAGTTGTGGGACATATGACAGGGCTAGGGCGTACCCCGCAGGCGACGCGCAGGGGCAGCACCCGGCTCCTGTGGGAAGTGGGCAAGGGTTGTCGCACCTTACGGAGCGGGTGCGACGTAAGAGGCGAGCCCGGAGAGAGAAGAATGTCAGAGTGAGGTTTGCAAGCTGGAATATAGGTACGATGACTGGAAGAGGAAGAGAGTTAGCAGATGTTTTGAAACGACGAAGAGTGAATGTTGCCTGTTTGCAGGAAACAAAATGGAAGGGCAATAAAGCAAGAGAGATTGGGGAGGGATACAAGTTTTATTATTGTGGAAGTGATGGGAAGCGAAATGGAGTAGGAGTTGTGTTAGATAGTGGAATGAAAGAACGAGTGACAGATGTGAAAAGAGTAAATGACAGAATGATAGTTGTTAAATTAATGATTGAAAACAAAGTAGTGAATGTTGTAAGTGTGTATGCTCCGCAAACAGGCTGTGAAGAGAGTGTGAAAGAGAAGTTTTGGGAGGAATTTGATTGTATGATGATGGGAATACCTGAGCGTGAGGATCTTTATATGGGAGGAGATTTTAATGGACATGTAGGGAGAGTGAATGACGGGTATGAAAGAGTACACGGTGGATGGGGGTACGGAGTGCGGAACCGTGAGGGGGAAGTTCTTCTGCAAGCAGCATGTGCTTTCGACCTGGCTGTAGTAAACACGTGGTTCCAAAAACGAGATCAGCATCTTGTTACTTATAAAAGTGGCCACCACGCGACATAGATCGACTATCTTCTGATAAGACGGAACCAAATCAAGAGTGTAAAAAACTGCAAAGTGCTTCCAGGTGAAGACTTAGTATCCCAGCACCGAATTCTGCTGGCTGACATCTGCTTAACTGTTCGCCTCAACAAACATAAGGATCGTCCCCCACCCAAAATAAAGTGGCATTTGTTGCATAAGGAGAGGTATGCAAGTGAATTTAGAGAGCTAGTTGTAAACAAGATGATAGAGATGGGTGATATGGAAGGAATGAGTGTGAATGAGTGCTGGAAGGAAATGGCTGATTGTATCCGAAGTGTGGCAAGGAAGGTGTTAGGAGAAAGAAAAGGGAAGCGTATGATAGATAAGGATGGGTGGTGGTGGAGTGAAAGTATTAGAGAAGTTTTGAGAGAAAAGAAAAATGCCTTTAAAGAATGGCAGAGCGTAGAAGACCAGAATGAATCCATAAAAGAAAGTAAGAGAGGGGCGTATAAAGAATGTAAGAAGAGAGCGAAGAAGGAAGTTGCTATTTGTAGGGCAGAGGCGCACGATAAATTATATCGGTCCCTTGAAAGCCCCGAAGGTCAAAAACGACTTTTTCAAATTGCAAGAGCGAGAGAAAGGAATGGAAGAGATGTTTCACATGTAAAATGTATAAAAGATGATTCTGGAAGGATTTTGACTGACGATGAAAGTATAAAGAAGCGATGGAAGGAGTATTTTGAGAAATTGATGAATGAGGAGAATGAATGGAATGGTATGCTTGAAAACCCACCAGTGAATATGGGCTTAGTGAGAGAAATTAGTGTGGAAGAAGTAAAAATGGCTGTTAGGAATATGAAGAATGGGAAGGCGGTCGGCCCAGATGGAATACCAGTAGAAGTGTGGAAGTTGCTGAGGGCGGATGGATGGAAGTGGTTGAGTTTGTTTTTCGGTAAATTGTTGCAGGAAGAACAAATACCTGAGGAATGGTGCAGTAGTATACTGGTTCCCATTTTTAAAAACAAAGGAGACGTTCAAAACTGCAGCAGTTACCGGGGAATAAAGCTCATGTCACATACGATGAAAGTCTGGGAAAGAATAATAGAGAGAAGAATGAGAGAAGAGTGTGAGATAACACAAAACCAGTTCGGATTCATGCCCGGTCGAGGTACGACAGATGCCATTTTCGCATTACGCCAATTGTGCGAAAAGTACAAGCGCGTGCATAAAGATCTGCACATGGTTTTTGTCGACCTTGAAAAGGCGTACGATCGGGTTCCCCGTGAGGTCTTGTGGTGGGCGTTAAAGATGAAAGGTATGCCTGGGAAGTATGTGAGGTTGGTCCGTGCTATGTACAGAGCATCCCGTACATGTGTACGATCTGCCGCGGGAACTACGGGCAGTATCGATGTGGCGGTAGGGCTGCACCAGGGGTCAGCACTGAGCCCTTACCTCTTCCTACTGATTATGGACGCTTCGACGTCGGACCTGCAGGATGAGGCACCCTGGTGCATGCTCTTTGCCGATGACATCGTGCTTGTCGGGGAAGAAGGCATCGAGGTACAGAGCAGACTGACGGGGTGGCAACGGAGGCTGGAAAGTGTTGGCTTGAAGATCAGCAGATCCAAAACCGAATATCTGTGCTGTGATTTCGGCGGTCTTTCCAGTCCTGTACCCATGTCGTTGGATGGCGCTATACTGCCTATCTGCTCAGATGTCAAGTACCTCGGTTCCCTCATTCAAGGCGACGGCGGAATAGATAGAGCTGTGCAGCATAGGATTAACGCAGGGTGGATGAAATGGCGACAGGTCACAGCCACAACGTGCGATCCCCGAATGCCAATAAGGCTGAAGGGGAAAATTTACAAATCGATCATCCGACCTGTCGTCATGTATGGAAGTGAATGCTGGGCCGTCAAGAAGAAGGATGAAAATAGACTGCATGCGAATGAAATGAGAATGTTACGATGGATGTGTGGTGTGACAAGGATGGATAAGATAAGGAATGAGTATATAAGAGGAAGCCTGAAAGTAGCGCCAGTGGTAGAAAAGGTGAGAGGAAGCAGATTGGCATGGTTTGGGCATGTGATGCGGAGGAATGAAAGTCATGTCACAAAACGAGTGTTGAATATGAATGTGGAGGGACACACGGGCAGAGGAAGGCCGAATAAAAGATGGATCGATTGTGTGAAGAGTGATATGAGAATGAAAGGAGTAAGTATGGAAATGACGGCTGATAGAGAGGAATGGAACAAAAAGATTTACTGCGCCGACCCCAGATAATGGGAAATGGTTTAGAGAATGATGAGGACAGTTATTACTTATAATAACTTAATATAAAAATATTTTGTGTGTTCTGTTGGTAGTCTCACAAAGTGTATACGAAAATAGTATGAATATACTAAATGGCAACACTTGAATAGAGTAAAATGATTTAAGTCATTTGAGATTCTCAAAAATGTTTGTTTTTTTCTGTGGCTTTAATTAAAATACATTTTTATTTAAAAATCATAGAAAAATAATAAAACTCATTTTATATATAACTTATTTCTAGACGCGCTAATTTTTGTCAACTATTTTTCTGCCATTGCTCTTTAGGTACGAGAGTCTTCCCGCGCCTTCCGTTAACCGTTACAGCGCTAGGTACCTACGTCCGACGGAATGGCTGACAGCTGACAGTCTTTACCGTGACTTCAATACGTACGAGTGTGCTACTGCTATTTTTAAATTTTCGTAAGAAGAAGTGAAAATATTCAAACCGCGAATACTATGAAATGGTGCGGTAATACATTTTAAGAAATGAAAGTTTACGTGGTGAGCAAAGATTATGAAGTTGAGTCTGTACCGTGGCATGAATTTAACGTACGTGTTAAATTCTTGTCACGGTATTCGGCAATATTCGGCAAAATACGTGAAGATTGGTGGATTTCACACGGAGGCTCTATACTATGACTTGCCAACTCGCCGTAACTTTCACCATAAAACTTTTATCTATGGGGTGAAATAAACAGTCGTGTATACGTCAAAGAGGCTCAAAGTTATGAAGACCGCCGCAGCAAAATTGACAGATAGATAGATAGATAACACTTTATTGTACATTAAAAAATAATATAAATATTAAGAAAAAATGAGAAAAGGAAATGTGGTACAATGGGCGGTCTTATCGCGAAGAGCGATCTCTTCCAAACAAGAAAATAGCTGCTTATACGAAAGTTAAAAGTGCTCAAGCACAGGTAATAACCGTAAAAAATAATTTAAGAAAACGCGCTCGTCTATGAGCACACAGGGCGCCAGATTTCATTTTGAAGTACCAATATTAATTGTTAGGACTATTTGCGTAATTTAGTTATAAATAGTTTATTCCAAATTTTTAAATACGCCATAATAATGAGTCTTCGGTTATGAAGATGATAAGTAAAATATATTTTATTATTTATTTATTATAACGATATATTATAAGCCCGTTAAAAGTGTGAAGGGAATATTGGATTCATAATTCGCGTCGTGTAGTTATTAACTTAAGCATTAGTTGTTACCGTGTCACTAAGAAAGTAAACAGTAAGGAAAAACTTTATAAATTGAATCACACACACAGGAGCGCTGTACGAGTAGTTGTTGCCCATAAATCACATTAAATTTAGGATAATTTCAAATAAAAGTAGAAGGCTTATTTAGTCGTATTTTCAAAAACTGCAATAACGGCATCATTATTTATATATTTGAACTTACAATATAAAATTTTGATACCCTTTGAAAAGTTAACCTGTATAGTATAGTCTGTAACAAACAATCCTGGTGATATTTATTATAAGGGCATATAGGCGTACATATAGACATAGCATTTATACTTTTTTGGTCGTTGTTAAAAGAATTTTAATGTTCACAAAATACTAAATTAATTCTTGTGAAACAATGTTATTAACATCTGAACTAACTGACACACGCATCGTTAATGCGGGGTCTTTGACAATACTCTTATGGATGCCAGACACGATCCAGTTTACCGTCAAGTTTGCAGCGCGATTGAAGCGGCGTCCGGTAAACTTGACGGTGTATGGCGATCAATGTGCATGACAAGTCTACTTGAAGCAAAAATTGAATTTAGATTTTGCCGACTTGATCAAGCTTGCCGCGTCATGTATACGTGTGTATGAGCAGTAGATGACGTTAGTCGGAGCAATAAGCGAGAGACAACATGGTTTCAACTGGTGCGGCATCATGCAAACTTGACGGCGAACTTAAACGTGAATAGTCTATATGGATGCACTGTAAGCCGGACGCCGCTTCAAGCGCGCTACAAACTTGACGGTAAACTGGACCGTATATGGCATCCATTATGTAGACTCCGGCCAATGCAGAGGTAATATGCTCACGTACAAATTGCAAATAAACATTTGAAGAATGTTTTTTCATCAACCGAATAATATACTTGTACAGTTACTCTTTAAATAACTCTTTTAATTATTTTTATATTTGAAAGAAATAGACATTGACTTATATGTACTACATACTAGAGAAGCCATTCTAAACAAAAAATATGCACTACTCTATGTCTTCGCGCACGCGCAGTTGATTTAATCGCGTTACTCCTACGCGGTCAGTTTTTAATTTAAAGTTTAATTTGAAATCTTGTATTATTAGCGCCGCTCCACACTGCATGAATATTGAAACCACAGACTAACTAGTACATTGAAACCACACTGAATGACATACTGTACGGATTGCAGTACAGTTCAGTTGAACATAGTATATGTTCGGAATGCTATATCTAGTACGTAGTACATATATATCGATGGAAATAGATAAATATTCTTTATCAACTATTATTAATATGTATATATATTACTTTATTATAAACTATCTGTTCCCTGCGACTTCGCCCGCGTGTAATTTAGGGTTTTAATTATATTGCTCAGAACCCTAATTCTTTTTCTCAAATCAAAGTAGCCAAGTTACTCCTTAGAACATCAGCTATCTGCCACTGAAAGTTCCGTCGAAATCGGTCCAGCCGTTTCGGAGATTAGCCGGAACAAACAGACAGACAGACAGACCGACAGACAGACAGACAAAAATTTTAAAAATTGTGTTTTTGTTATAAGTATATACATTCATATGCATTTAGTAAAAAGCTGTTACTTTAACATTACAAACAGACACTTCAATTTTATTTATTTGTATAGATAACGCATAATTATTAGCTTCAGAGAATGAAATTTTCCATACCTCTCCCAGCCACTGAGTAGTGGCTTAGCCAAGGGGTTGTACGTGCGTAGGTCTTTGAGCGCCAACACGTCTGTGCGTCTGCATTTCGGTCCGCACGTATGCGGCACCATCTTGTGCGGGCGTACTGCATTCTTGGGCGTGTAATACTATAACGGACACAAATTTATTTTTTATTATTACATTCTTAATAGCCATAGTAATGACATAATAGTAAACGTCGTTTCATTTATACCAGATGTCAGAAAAACGACCAATCGATGGCGAAGCTACCAAAACTGATTATTATGAATTACCAAAACTGAAAAGACTGGAAAGGCCGGTAAAACGCAAGGGCTTATAAAGTACGACCTCGTGTACGTACACTAAATGCTCTCAACTTAGAAGAGGTCTAGCAGGGAACTGTTTATAAACTGTTGATGTTACATAGTTCAAGTTTTAATTTTAAATGATATTTATCAGATATTTTGAATTGAATGTATGATACATTTAGATCATCTCAACAATGTCGTAAATTACTAAAGTTGAAATGATCTTATAATCGTGGGTGTGTCTGTTAGTGATCGTGTAACTTCTGAACAAGCTGACCCACCTACTGACGTCATATTAACACAATATATTTGTTTTGTCGAGACCATGGTTCATAGCATGCTAGGATCCAATAGGTGGTGCTGTAGTGAAACATTAACAACATATTCTTGAACTAAAAACTTGCATACCAAGCGTATCAAGCGCGTCAGTGTTCAATAAATCTCACCACCCTTTCCATCCCAAGAAATAATGTGTTGCACAGTTGTTATAATTTTTTTATAACAAATGTAAACCAAACACATGCAAAAATAAATAAATAAATAAATAATTAAATATTTAAGGCCATAGCGACCACAAACATACCACAACTCGGCTGGTGACGTTGTCCAAGTTGGCGGCGTTGACAGGCGGCGCGGGTGCGGGCGCCGGCGGCAGGCTCGTCGTTGTCGACTTCTTGGCCACGGCGCGCTGTCGACGTATTTCCTGCAATACGACATTTATTTACTTACATCTATAACAATACTATCTATACTAGTTGGTCCCTGCGAAGCCAGTCGTTGTGTGTATATTAAAACAACAACCTAAGGAAGTTTTAACGATTGCGAGTGGACGTAGTGTTGATCGCTCCTCAAATACCTAAGTTTTTTCGGTTAAATTTATAATGATATTAAGTGTTGCACATCAAAACATCAAATCATTGGCTAATGTTAGAACTACATATTTTGACAATTTTCGCGAACTGAAATGTTGTTTGTTAATCACTATTAACTAAAACAAATATCGACACGGACGTTGTGCAAGTGACTCCGAGGGTGGCTTGATAACAAAAACATTTGTTTACTTAATATCGTGGGCGGCTATCGTTCGTCATAATGACCAAATGCGCGTGTGTGCTGTGTGCATTGGATTTAACGCCTACCAGTCACACCACATCGAAACAACGCAGCTCGTGCGGAAACAGGATCAAGTTTTCGTCCAATTATTCAAGCGACGGACAGCCCTAAATTCAATAGCATGCTGGTGTCTTGCATTAAACTGCAAAGTAGCACCCAGGGGTATGAAAGTCCTCAGAAGTTTTTACGTTGATACTAGCACCATCTCATAGTTTTTAAAAGTACTAAAAAGTACCCCAATATTTTTACACATTTTATTAAAAAGATGGCGCCACTGCTGGTAATTATTATTTATACCGTAGCCTAAACCATGCTATCGAAGTTTTGAAATACAGCGTTATGTATATATATAATTCTATATTACTATACTATAAAATAGTAAACGAAGCAATTCATACCATGGTCATCTAAAACAAACTAAATGAAGAGTTAATTAAAACAAATTAGTTAGTAATTAAATACATATCTTTTTCATTTTATTGAAATATGTACGAAATAATACTGAACCTAGTTGATAGCGCCCTCTAGTGTAATTTTCAGTACTTTATAATCCTAACGCCATCTATGAGACCGCAGAAGAAACTTCCTTCATTTCGTCACCTAATAATTTGTCAGAGTAGCTCATCTATGCCCTATATAGTATATTATCTTATGGTAGCACCTATTGAAAATGAAATAGCTGAGATAAAAACATCAATGTCATTCATGAATATTTCTTATGAGAAAATGTTAAGGGAGCAGGGAAAAAACAAAAACAAATGAAGAACATGCAAAGGGAAAATGAAGGCCTCAAAATCTCGATTTTGGACCTCACCACCTGAGTTGCTCACCTAGAACAGCACGCTCGTCCAAAAAATGTGAAGACAATGCGTTCCGTAAAAGAAACATGAAACACTTATAAAAATTGTAATAACCCTAAGTAAAACGAAAGGCTAATATTCGACACTGATATTACGGATGCTGATTCAGCACTGCACTCGCGTGACCAAACTTAATCCAAATAGCACATGTCCTATGGCAATTGTTGCCCAGTTCGCTGTCACGTAGATAATTTTTTGGCAAAGGTGGATTTGTTAAAGATACATTCTTACTACTCCAATGCTAAATTGAATGCAACGCATGCTGGACTGAACACTTAATGATATCTTCAAGATCTTCACTTCGACACCTACGGCACAAAATGTTTTGATGGATACTTTAACGCCACCACCACACGCAGAATAAAGTTTACTTATTTTAATATTTTTACTTTTTTTATGATTTCCGGATGTTTTGAGAGCTTCGCAGCACCCGTGGTCACAAAGTAACTGCTGTGTTCAACGTTTTGAAGTCATAGTTAACTCTCATTATTTGGAAGTAAAGACTAGAATTGAGTTGGGGGGTTTTTCAAAAAATTTAAAATTCTTATTTTTTTTTCCGCGATAACTCCTCCTCCTTTGGAAGTTCTTACACAGTCTTTACTTCCCGCATCCCACTTGTTATTTATTACATTTATCTTTTAATTATACAGGGTTATTTTGCAATATGCGCTCAAAGAACAATGGCAGCTTTCATACATAAAATTAGTTGACAAGAAATGGTAGCGTCTATATATCAAAAATATCTCGAAATGTTAAGCGTCAGTCCCTTAATAACTCTGTCAAAGAATTTTGTCCTGAGAAGGCGTCAAAAAAAAGATATTTAGATTTGAACCTTTTTAGGTTATGTCCTATGTCACTTGGAAAAAATCATGTTTCCTGTGGTTGTTTGGTGTTAGCTTAATACATAATTGAGAGTTTTTAGATTATTATGTCTCTATTATATATTTGCATACTATAAATCTATATTTCAGGCATGGCTCCAGGGCCTTTGTATCATAGTGACATTTTCAGTCTAGAACCCAGAGCCGTAAAGGCAGTAAAAAAACAGTGACATTTTCTTTTACCTATGATTGAGGTAATGTATTATTTTAGGAAATTCTTTGTAAGAGACTTATTCTCAACCATATCACTTTTATTTTTATTGTTACTGATAGTATAGTTATTACTAATAATAATATCTTAATATAAAAATATTTTGTGTGTTGTGTTGGTAGTCTTACAAAGTGTATACGACACACGAACAGTATGAATATTTAGTATATTATATTATATAGTTTGAATATTTATATGGCAACACTTGAATAGAGTGAAATGATTTAAGTCATTTGATATTCCCAAAAATGTTTGTTTTTTTCTGTGGCTTTAATTAAAATACACTTTTATTTGAATAATCATAAAAAAATAATAAAACTCGTTTTATATATAACTTATTTCTAGACGCGATAATTTTTGTCAACTATTTTTCTGCCATTGCTCTTTGCAGAGAAGGTTCAGAATAAGTAACATAGGCGAATAGTGAAGAAAATTTAATAAAAAAAATCTCAAACATTCTGTCCTTTTTATCTTTTAAATTCAGAATGCCTGGTAATAACTGATCGTTATTCATATATACACACAACTATCACAATATCTAGCGAATACTATTTTACTACGCATGCACACATTCGTAAGGGTCGTAAAGGTAACGGTCAACCGAGCGGCAAAAACGTTGTGAATTGAATCGCTAACAGAGGAGCGCGCATACGCGGTGTTGCCCATAAATCACATTCAGTTTGGGAAAATTTCAAATAAAATTAGAAGCCTCATTTACTAGTATTTTCAAAAAATGCAATTATGGTATGTCATTATTTATATATTTGAAATTAAATATAAAATTTTGATATTCCGATTTGCCTTTCCAATAATACTAAATTCCTTCTTGTTTTATACTGCATACTGTTCAATCCCTCCACCCCATGTTACTTGAAACGTCATCTACGTTCCAATAACAATATTTCGCTTCGTATTCCGGCACATTCATCCTCCTTTTTCAATAAATCATTTCGTAGCTAGGACGAAGGAAAATGGGCTATGCTTTCGTCTGGGTAAGAAATAGACGCAAATCAGCTGATTCCGAATTAAGAAGGATACTAAGACTTTGAAGTGAAATTGTGTAAGCTGTTTCTATTTTTTATTAAATGAGCATGTTATTAATCTTCTAATATAAAATTCAATACTTTGCAATTGTATTATCAAAGTGCCCGTGGTTTAGACCAAAAACTCATCATTGTTATAGACAAGTTTGTTGCAACAATTACGATTTAATAGTTAAAGTGGAATCAGGGTTGAACTCAAATATATTTTGAGAAGAACTTTTTTTAATAGATATACGGTTTACAGAAGGGATAGGGAGAGTTCTGGATTTCATAAGAACAAAACGGAGGGTGGAAGCATCATAGTCGCCGTAAATAATAAATTAAAAGCGAAAAGAATGTTGTCCTGGGAGAGTAAATGTGAGGACTTGTAGCTAAATTTGGAGGTAGCATATTCTGGCTCAGTATGTCATATCAGTTAGTCGCAGCGTACTTGAACATTTACTAGACAACTGTAATTCAGTTTATTATAATAAGCTCTCGATGTTTATTGTAGGTGACTTTTATCTAAGAAACTTCTATCTATAAAATGGTGCATGATAATTGCAGTAGTTATGTGGCACCTGGTTTGGATAGAAACCTGGTTGACTTTAAGTTTACATCAATTTTCCCAATTAAACAGCATCACCAACGGTAAAAATGTTATTTTGGATGTCCTCAACAAAATTGAAAAACAGTACACAACGTAGTAGTACTTTCCCTAACTGTAGATGAAAAGCTGCCATGTAATACTGAAAAAAAGCTTCCGATGGCGTGAAGTACTTAGACGTCGCTGTTGACCACATATTGCCCCATACTTCCGAGGGTTTTGAGACAAGGAAAAATCAAATAATACACGCCGTTTCGCACATTCTTGGAAGTTTACATCCTGCAGTGGGCTTAAGAAGGTTGTTGGTGATAAAAATGGTAATTTTTTATTCAATGACATTTTCTTCAAAATAATGGTAAAATATCCAAAGCCAATCAATAATAATCTATAGGTATTTAAAAAATTTTGAAAATGTTTTTCAATACTTACTTCATTTTGTTGCGGCGTTTGTGGTGCAGGTGTTTTGGAAGGTTGTTGCTCGTCGTAGCGCGTGTATTCCACGTATGGCATGTTCGTCTGAAATGGAATCTTAGTGAACAAAGGTACATACAATTTAGAAGACAATTTATAAGAGACCAAAAAGGAATAAAAATAACAATCGAATTTGTACACTACGAATAAAAAAAAATATTTAAAACTAGCTGTTCTCCGCGACTTCGCCCGCGTGAAAGTTATTACGATGGGTTTCATGGGTTTTAATTTTTTTGCGCGGAACCCTAAATCTTTTTCTAAAATAAAAGTAGCCTAAGTTACTCCTTATAAAATCTGCTATCTGTTAGTGAAAGTCCCGTCAAAATCGATTCAGCCGTTTTGGAGATTAGCCGGAACAAACAGACAGACAGACAGACAGAGAGACAGACAGACATCCAAGAATGGCTTTGATGAAAGCAAATTTCTTTTGAGGCAAAGGAAACAAAAGTCCAGCTCTTGGAAAAGGTGAAAGAAGTCAAAAGTCAGTACCAATCGTACGTGGTCAATGAGATGGCAAAAGCATTGAGATTACCCCCATACCACTGTGAATTGAATCCCATCGAACTAGTGTGGGTAGACATCAAGGGGTATGAGGCCCGGAAAAATATAATATTTAAGATGGCAGATGTTAAAAAGCTGCTCTAAGAGGGTTTAGGCAACATTTCAGCAGACAAATAGCAAAATTGCATCAGTCAATTAAAAAAAAGAGGAATCGAAATTAGATGGACTAGATGATAATGCAGACAAAACTGTTGATTCTTTTGTAACAAATGTGACAGGCGAGACGTCGTCGGAAAGCAGTAACTCCGATACAGTAAAATCGAATTCTGATTTTTGAATTTTCTGCCACATTAGTAACTGTAATGTAACTCGATTTTTATAACTGTTTTTATACTAAAATCAAAATAAATAATTTATATAATAACAATAATTTATTTAATAAGTTAGTAAATTTATTTTTTTGTCCTTCAAATATTTTATATAAACCACACTTAACACAAAAATGTTTGTGACCATTGCCTACTGGCAAAAAGGTTATTGAACGAAATTCTTCCTGCTTCGCGTACGGACATTACATGTTATCACAATAATCTTGTGTTATCACAATACTATAAGGCGATGGCAAAATAAAATATAAATTCTTCCTTTTAATCTTTCAAGACCAATTACATTTTATTAAACCAATTACAATTCCTTTACTCGTATGGTCCGATAGGACGGTAATCCGTCACGGGAAAAATATGAGGCGCCGGATCAACAGTTTTACGTGCTTTCCAACGCACGGGGGTAAAACACCGTCAACTTCCTGATTCCGGGCTTTTACTGAGAATATATTGACAGAAAACTCAATAACTGATTTTAGCCCGACCCGAGATTCGAACCCGTACCTCATGATTAGCGACCGCATTTACGACCACTAGACCAATGCGGCAGGCATCAGACCCAGACCAACATGGGATAAATGATTCGAGTATAAGGCCAGGCACGGTGCCGCTCAACGGCCTGCAGCTTCATATAGAGCGGGTGCATTCTCTGTGCGAATGTCGGTAGGGCTCACCCGGTGCTGCGGGCCCGACCTGGGCATGGGGCGGGTTCGGTGCCGCTCGGCAGCCTGCAGCTCCAGGTAGAGCGGCGCCAGGCGAGTTGAACCACGGTAGATCCACTCCAGCCGGTCACCCGCCAACTTGATCAGCGCCAGCGATGCGTCTACTTGTATCACCTTCGACGTCCACCATTTGCCTGCAATGTCAATAAACTGCTACAACCAAGAACGATAAATCGTTATAACATAATATTAGACTTCTGCTTTTAGCCAACTTCAAAGAAGAAGAAAGTTCTCAAATTGAGTGTCTTTTAAGTATGTTACGTTATGTAAAAAAGACCTTTTATTATTAAATAGGCTATACTTCAGGGGTGGTCCCATATAGAATGTAAAATCTCCGATAAGGGTGAAGAAAAATAGGGATTTAATTTTTAAAATAACCATTTAAGCGTAGGCAACATCTTAGTTGTAACCTTTAATTAGTGATATTCCTTAATTCACTCAAAAACCAAAAAAAAAAAGATTTTATTAAAGGAAAAGCCGACTTGAATTTCACAAAAATATATTACACATAATATTTTATTCTTTTTAGTTGCTTGATGTAGGTTTTAATCGACCAGTACATGCCTCTCCCGCTACAAGGAATTTAATTCCTCCAGACCGAATTTTGGTCACGTGGATGTTGGTTTGGTGATGTAGCCGAAAATGGTGTAGCACACAGATTTAACAAAAGCCTATTCACTCTTGCCTTGAAGACACCCATATTGTAAACGGATGAAAAGTTTGCTGTACGCATGACGAACATCTGGTTCGAATGCGTGGGAAGTCTACAACGAAAGAATAGTGATTGGCCGAGCATCTGGTTGTCCGATGTTGTAAGAGAGAGGGTGGAATTAAGTTACGCAATTCCTGCGCACACTTTCCGAAATGTATCTTATAGGAAACCGAAACTGGCTACTTTGCACCTGTGTTCAAGGCCGGTGAGATTGGTATTAACCAGATTCGGGTCACCAATAAGCTTTTTAGCACGACTTTTGCTTAAGGCTAAAGCTGGTCGGTGGAATTTTGCAGCACCTTATATGGCAGCAATACTCCATACACGACTGGACTTGCGCTTTATGTAGAGTAAGCAGCTATCCCGGCGTGAAGTACCGCCGCAACATAGAAAGGAAACTACTAATTTACTTAATGAACTACCCGAAGTTCAGGTTTTAGGATATCTCAACTCCTAACAACTAAAGTCGATCGGTGTATTCCGGTGATAAATTTCGAAAAGGTGGAGCCAAGGTGAGCTGGCTCCTTTTTGCAGTGAAGGGGACGCTTGTGTTTTGGAGGCGTTGAATTTCATTAGATTGGCATCGCCCCATTTGGAGACTGCCTGTAGTGCGAGATTCACACGCACAACCATAGCTTCTCTTTCGGAATGGATTTGATCCCGACTGACCCGAGTAGTTGGTTAGTATCTCTCCACAACTGTGCTGTCGTCTGCATACCCATAGGTACCGGGCATCATGGATATCGCAGCAGGAAGAGAGTTGCGGAAAGACGCAGACCCCTCAAGAACGCCGGCGTTAGTAGCTATTGCATGGCATGAGCAGTCAGCCAGATACACTGGAAGCTTACCCAAAAGGCTAGCGTGCCAAACTCTGTCAAAGACCTTCGAGACATCAATGGAAATAGCAAGTGCTTCCGCACTGTTCTCGAGTGCCTCGTCTTATATGTGTGACATAAGCTAAAGGTACGCAGCTGACTGATTTCGGCGAAACCCGTTCTGGCGGTCAGTAGGTATGCCATGAGGTGGGCTTTCAATATACGCTCCATAATCCTACAGTATGGAGGTAAATGAGATTGGCCGATAATTGGCAGGGTCGGTGCGGCTCCCTTTTTTTTGGAACAGACTGCACGTTCCAGGATTTTGGCGCTATTCTGGTCCTAAATGAGAGGCGGAACAAGCGTGTCGGTACAGTTGCACAAGCCTTTAGAATTATAAGTGGTATACCATCTGATCCACTAGCTTTATTCACGTCTAGACTCCGGAAGGATTTAAGAACCTCCTTCTTTGTGATACAAAACCTTTGACATAGAGGTCCCGCAGCGAGGTAATTCAGGTGGAACATTGATGCCACTTCCAGAAGTGACTTGCAGGCAAAGAGAGACACGAATAAGTCTGCTTTCTCTTTAGCCGTATGCTAGCGCATCATATATATCATCCCGTTTTACCAGCGCAGGCAGTATAGACCGACAGAAATTTGTCTTGACCGCTTTAGCAAGAGACAAAAAAACTCTAATTCCGGATGGCCTGGCACAGATTTGTGCTACTATGTTTAATGCGGTCGAGACTGGCTTTACGTAACGTTCTTTTTGTAGGACTTGGCGGCCTGGTTGAGAGCTCTCTTCTTGGAGCTGAGATACGAAGAATGCGGTCTTTTTAAATAACCAATACCCAAACTTGGACGCATTCAGCGTTAAACAAGTTGGGCAAGCTTTGTTATCGGTGGGAGCGTTAAAAAAAGGAGATAAAATACTCCATCGCTTGACGCTAAACGTCGAACCCAGGACCTGATGATCAGCGATCGCGTTAACGACCAATAGACCAACGAGGCAGTAAGTAGTAGTGCTTTGTAGAGCTGCAGGGATAATTTGCCTTTATCATCATGTTTGGCAGGGGGTTTGATCACAGGGCTTCGCCTTTGACTTTGGCCTTACTTTTGATGCAGCTGCTCATTACCGGTCTGGGAATTTTTCGTCTGGTGTAAATGAGATGGTAATGCTGCCATCCAACGGAAACCTTTAGATTTTCATGACATTTTTTTTATAGGAGAGGGGCAAACGAGCATGCGGCTCACCTGATGGTAAGTTAGTCACTTACCATCGGGTAAGTGACTAACTTATCCGCCGCCCATGAACAACTGCAACACCTGGGAGGGAATTGCAGATGCGTTGTCGGCCTTTTAAAAAGGAGTACGCTCTTTTCTTGAAGGTCCCTAAGTCGTATCGGTCCGGAAAAATCGCTGATGTTAATCGATTCCACAAGGAAGTCGTGCGAGGAAGAAAACATCTTCTAAATCGCACAGTGGTGGACCGCCAATCATCCAGATGGTGTGTATGGTATCGGAAGTTCTGCCGCGATGTGCGTTCGTGAAATTTGGCGGCTGGGATTAATCCGAACAATTCCTCAGAGCACTCCCCATGGTAGATGCGAAAGAAAATGCAAAGGGATGCAACATCTCTTTGCAGTGCCAATGAATCGAGCCGATCGGAAAGGGCTCGGTCGTCGACGATTCGAGCCGCTCTGCGCTGGATGCGGTCAAGTGGAAGGAGCTAGCACTGGGGAGCTCCTGCCCAGAGATGGGAACAGTATTCCATGTGAGGCCGAACCTGCGCCTTGTAAAGTTGCAGGCGGTGTGCCGGCATGAAATACTGTCCCGCTCTGCTGAGCACGCCAAGCTTTTTAGAGGTCAATTTGACCTTCTCTTCCAAGTGACCACGAAACTGCACGTCACTCAATATGTCGACTCCGAGGATACCGATACTGGCTGAGGCAAGAAGGGGAGTGCCTTGATACTGAGGAGATACGACAAAGGGGTTATTTTTAGTGGTAAACGCGCAAACTTGTGTCTTCTGAGGATTAAACTGGACTAGATTTAGTCGCCCCCAATCCGAGACTTTGTTCAGCAAAGACTCGACTTCAGACTAAGTCGTCTATCACGACACCCAAAGAAAGATATGAGGTGGAGTTAGTACTCTCCACTAGATGGTAGGATTAGGATATGTACTTACTGACATCTGCCACAAAACCACAGTGTTTGCATTGCTGTATTTCGCGGTCTTTTTTTATATAGGATAGGGTGACAAACGAGCACAAAGTCTACCTGATGGTAAGTGGTTACTGTGACCCATAGACATCTACATCTACATCTATCCTCAATAAAGACACAAGATGCAGATGCGTTGTCACCCGTGAGGACTAAGATGGAATGCCTCTTTGCCAGTAAGAAGGGTCTCCGGTTCTCTACACTCACCATACGAAACACAGCAGTGTTAAGCTGCTATTTTACGCTGGTATCTCTACCACGGTCTGAGAGACTAGAGCCAGTATAATAACAAACTGTGATGCTTTCCATCTTAGTCCTCAGATATGACAACGCATCTGTAGCCATCTTTGTTTGAACATGGTTGCAGGTTTCCATGGGCTGCAGTGGCCATGTACAATCAAGTGGCCTGTGAGTTCGTTTATCACGTTTAATTTTATAAAATAAAAAATTATTACAGTTACACCATTCAACGTAGAACAACAAGTGGTCACTCGCTATAGATACTTACAGTATTGCTTATCTTTTAAAGCTCTGATCAGTCCACAGTCTGCAATATGGACCGTTAGACGTTCAACAAGTACATGCGCAAGTACTACAGTACCGTCATATTGCAACAAGAGCATCTGCTGTAGATACTCACCGTTCCATTCGGCCTTGAGGTTCTGTCTTGGATGCAGCCGCACCATTGGTCGCTCGGGATACGACAGCAGGTACTGGCGCACGAAGTCGCGCGAGTATGGATGCACCTCTTCCCAAACCAACGGTGAACACTCGCACACCAGACGTGTGTGCGCGTGTTGTGCATATTTTGCATGCCCGTCGTCAAAGAATACCAAATATCTGATAAAGAATTTAATGTATTTCTATTTCGTTATCGTAAAATAAAATGAAATTTGTAAGAACTGTAACCTAGCCTAAAACAGATTTTCTTATAGAAATAAAGTTAACAACCGAGCAATCACTCATATCTATTTGCAATTCACTCACTCACTACAGCCCATCACTGTCACAAGTCCACTGATGAATATAGGCCTCCCCCATAGATTGTCACAAAGTACAGTCTCTGAACCACATACAACCATCGACTACCTGCATCAGGTTGTAACTCCCTCAAGTGGGAGGTCATCCTACAATTCGTTTACCGGTACGAGGCTGCCATTCGACAAGCTATCTCCCTATAGCTTGTCGGTTTTTCAAGCTATATGAACAGCCCATTGCCACTTCAGCTTGTAGATCCCATGGGCTATATTGGTTACTCTGGTTCTACTGCGGATATCCTCATTAAAAATTATATCACGCTTAGAAACTCCGGGCTTAACCCTCTCCATAGCATACTGAGCGACCTTAGGCTTTTATATACGGCCGGCAGTTAACAAACATGTCTCAGGTCCTTAAGTCATCGCACTAATTGCATACTCTTGTTTTCAAATCTTTTATTACATACCTATAATTGTTAACAGGGTTTGGAACCTCCGCGACGACTCCTGAATAGAACGATTCTCTTTTGTCGGAAGATGCAATTATTCGAGTACCTGAAAAATTATACAAAGATCTATATTTTAAATATGAGGTTATTTTTATTAATTTTACCAACATATGTTTATAAAAATGCAGATATTTTAGTTTGAAAGGTCATTTTAATGAACTTAGTCTACCATTCCGTTGTATCGAAAAAAAATATGTCGGAACTTCATCACAAGATCCTACTTCTGATCTCGGAAATACACCAGGAATGGTTGATTGTTATAAATAGTAAAAGCGTGAGAGCGGATGTTTAACTCTCTTGCTTACGCAATTAATCATTATCAGTAATAAGACAGCGTAACGCACTATACATTCAGTACATTTCGACCACACCATGATACGACCCCGCCACAATCACAGACCAGTGTAACGTGAGGGACGTCATTACTTAATAACACCAAGGTATGCAAACCAACAGCAACACTACACATCTCAGTGTAACAGCATCTGCCTCGCCTGCACCAGAAGAACCACCACAACGGACAGAACTACGATACTATCTTAGCACTACTACGACGTAGAATGACTTGGGAGGAATCTCCCGCCTACAGTGAACATTATACTGCACAAACGAGTGGGGGGTCTTTCGATATACCCTCAATTCCACCTCGCCACCATCCGACGCTTCGATAGAGTGACGCAACTTTTCGCTCACTCTCAATCCAACCGGTATTTTATAGACGCGCCGACAAATATTTAAAACGTGTTTTAGAAACCACCGTATTCTTAGAAGTAAGTTCAAAATTACCATATATTTCCAGCGCCATAAGCTGTATAGACTTAGCTCAGAACTGTTTCAGATAGGTAAGCCTATTTGGGTCATGTCAGCAATAGAAAGGAAGAAATAGAAAAGATAAGCTAGTGTTCCAAGTGTATTTGAATCAAATGAGCATTAACAAACACGGCAGATGAATAATTAAAAAAAAATTTGCAACTAACCTATTGTAAGACGAACGTCGGAAGGATCAGAATACGCAAGGCAGCGCGCAGGCAACAATTTGAACGGATTCTTATTGACTTTGTGCTCGAACCTTACGCGGCACATCGTGAACGGGGCTGTTGACTGAAAATAAACACATTGAAAACATTATAACTCTTTTTTATTTTATTTCATCAGCCGTTTATTAATAATAGAAGAAAATTTACTTGCTAATTCTTTGTGCTTTATAGATTATTCTGTCACACAGGGTATGGGGAAAAACAAAAAAACCTTGGCAGGCGGGTTGGCAACTAGTTTTTTTTTTTTTAGTAGTTATAAAGAAGACGCTGCTGGCCATTTCCTAGTTTGTTTCCATCTCTCGCATCTTGTGACATTATATGGGATAGTGGATATTCTTACACAGATATTCAACTACACGGTAAGAAGAAATTGATTATAATACCAGTTATTGTAGACTCCACAGAATTATTAGTTCATATATGGAGCAACGTATACGCCTTTACAACAAAAATGTTAAAAGTTTGTTAGTAAACAAATTTAAATGTTTTATTTAAAAAGAAGTTGCATAAAAAAGGGTTATTATAATATAAAATAATACATGAATGAAATATAATAAAATGGTTCTATTAAAATTCATTTAAATATTGTACAAAATGATTATAAAATGAAATATGATTAAAAAAAACCCGCTGGCTTTCTTGCTGGTTTTTCCCAAGACAGAGGTATTTTCAGACCCAGTGGTAAAAAAAAATACTTACAATAAGTATTATGTAATAAGTAATTTATATTGAATAAAAATCATTATATTCTATTATCCGCAACTGCAAACATATTCGACTTATTTACTTACCAAATTTTTAGCCTGCGTCTCGACAATCTTCGCCTTGAGCCAAAGTCCGAAAGCATTCCTCATGGCATACACCGTCATGCCGACGCGCAGTGGCGGCCGCGTCACTTCTCCCGGCGGCGGCAGGTCGGCGGGTGCCGCCTCCGCCGACAGCTTCACCACAGATACCTCCACATTCTAAGCAAAGGAAAAGTGTGTTTTATATTTGTATTTCTCACCCACATCAGTATTACTATAACCGCTACGACTAGAGCCTATCGGCTAAAATCACATCATGTGTATTTGGATACGAAATTATGTTAGTAAAATATAGTTTTAATATTCCGACGCAAATTCATCTTAAGACAAAACATCTTAAAAGTATATACATAAATTACTAAGATAACGCTCTATGTGTGATATGGAGCATGAATGTGTAAGCCCAAGACTCCTCTGGATTAGGTTAAAAGTCGGACTCACTCGCTTGTTTATCCTTGGGGTCTATGCACCGACGGATCTGCGTGGAGGTGGGTCATTAAAAACACAACAAGAGAGAGAGGAATTTTGGGATAGCATGGGAGAGGTCTTGAATAAATGCGGAGAAAATGAACGGATCGTGATGTTAGGGGACTTTTATGGATGGGTTGAAGTAAAACGTGATGGGTATGAAGGAGTTCTGGGTACGTTTGGGGACGAGAGAGTGAATGACAATGGGAGAAGCCTGCTTGAAGTATGCTTGGAATGGAATCTGTGCATGGCCAACACAATGTTTGACCACAAAAAGATCCATTTGTATACAAGGGATGAGGGTGAGTCTAGAAGTATGATTGATTTTGTAATTGTGGATGAAAGACTGAGGAAGAAAGTGTAGTGTGTAGGCCTCGACACAGACCACTTCCTGGTCATAGCCCGAATGCGTGGCCTCTTTAAACGGTGGCGACACCGAGTGGCCGAGCCTACGAGTGTTTTGGACCGAGTAAAAGTGGAAAATCTACAGGAAAAAGAAAAGAAAGACGAGTATGTAGAGAAACTGAAAGAAAGTTTTAAAGGGATAGAAGAGATAGGAGTGATTGAAGATTTGTGGGAGACATTTAAGAAAGGGGTCGTAAATGTTGCTATTGAGGTATGCGGGGTAGCTAAAAGAAGGAAAGGAAGAAAGAATGATAACGTGTGGATGGATAAAGATGTACAAAGGGTTGTGCAAGAAAAGAAGAAAGCGTGGTTGAATTGGTTAGTAACAAAAGCTAACCAAAAAGTTCAAAAGGCAGCGGATGACGAGATAAAGTAAGCAAGAACGAAGTATAAAAGATTGAAAACAGCAGCGAAAGAAATTGTGTCTAGAAAGAAAGAAGAACGAAAGGATGATTTCGATAGGAGGCTCACTGAAGATTTCCAGTCAAACATTAAGTTTTTCTGGAAAACCATCAAAACAGCCAGAGGAAAAACTTCTACCTCGGAGCTGAGTACAATCAGGAGTCAAGATGGGAGCATTATAAAAGGAGAAGAATGTGTGTCAAAGAGATGGAAAGAGTATTTTGAAAGTTTGTTTGAAAGAGAGGAAGTGCAGGTACAGCATCTGCCACCTTTCACGGAAACTAATATAAATGTTGATGGAAATGAGATACGCATGGATGAAATAGTGAAAGCGTTGAAAAGTATGAGACTAGGTAAGGCTGTAGGGTATGACAGGATTACCGTCGAGATGCTGAGGGCTGGTCAGGGCCTGGTGGCTAGTCAGCTGTACCGCCTTTTCAATCTGTGCTGGCGAAATGGGCAAGTACCGGGAGACTGGTGCAAAGCCGTAATCGTGCCATTGTATAAGGGAAAAGGGTCACGGCAGGACTGCATAAATTACCGCGGTATAAGCCTTCTCAGCGTCGTCGGTAAATTGTATGCGAAAGTGTTGATTGAAAGGGTTGTGAATGAAACAGACGAGAAAGTATGGGATGCACAAGCGGGATTTACGGACCGGGATTTACGGTACGGATCAGGTCTTTTCCTTGCGGTGCATAGCCGAAAAGTATTTGGCTAAAAACAAGAAAGTCTACTGCGCGTTAATAGATCTAGAAAAGGCCTATGATAGAGTGGTGAGGAATGAATTGTGGTCAACACTGTCCGTGAACGGTGTGAGCAGTATCCTCATACGAACAATGCAATCTCTTTATAGGGATTCTAGTGCTTGTGTAAGGATAAACGGGGCATACACTGAATGGTTTAATATCGAAAAAGGTGTTAGACAGGGATGTGTAGCGTCACCGTGGCTGTTTAATCAGTTCATGGACAATTGTTTGACAGATTTAAAAGAGAATGAAAGTGGGTTGAGAATGAATAAGTTACTCGTCAAATGTTTTCTCTATGCTGATGACCAAGTATTACTTGCGTCTTCGGCCGAGGAGTTGCAAGAGATGGTAACTGCTATGAGTGGAGCTTTTGTTAGAAAGGGAATGAAGATGAATGTAAGGAAGACGAAAGTGATGGTGTTTGAAAAAGATGAGGCAGTGACAGACTGCAATATTGTGATTGAAGATGAACAAATTGAACAGGAGAAAGAGTTTGTGTATCTGGGTTCAAAGTTTACAAGAGATGGAAAGTGTGAGAGTGATATCGAAAGAAGAGTGAATGCAGGAAACATGGTGAATGGAGCTTTGCACTCCTTTATGAGCAGTCGGAAGGTGTCTAACAAGGCTCGTTTGACTGTGCATGAGGGGGTGTTGGTTCCGACACTCGTGTACGGAAGTGAAACTTAGGTATGGCAGAAGAAACATGAATGCAGAATAAATGCAGTTGAGACGAGAGCAGTAAGAAGTATGATAGGAGTTAAACTGAGTGACACGATAAGAAATAGTGAGATAAGGAAACGTTGTGGTCTGAAAGAAGATGTAATGACAAAAATTGAGAAAGGTATGCTGAGATGGTTTGGCCATGTCGAGAGAATGAATGAAGAACGATTGACGAAAAAAGTGTAAAAGGCGTGTGTGAATGAAAGTGTTGGAAGGGGTAGACCTAGGCGGACATTTCTAGACCAAATCAGGGACGTATTGAAAAAAGGCCAGGTCAAGACTACCCTAAACCGTAGAGCATGTATGAAGGGAATAATGAAAGCGCAAAACAAGTATCTAAGGATCGTAGCAAGTGGAAAGAAGTGGTCTCTGCCTACCCCTACGGGAAAGAGGCGTGATTATATGTATGTATGTATGTACGCTCTACAAATGTGTCGCTATGCGCGGGTATTGTAATAATTTTTGGATATCACACAAAGGCCGTGGTTATTCTATGGTACGGCCAACTGGCAGCGATACGAAAGGTTATTTACCTTAATAACGACTGTGGAGTTGACAATCTAATATTTATCTCTTTCCATCTTGTGTTTTTGTCTCGTATTCCCGGCAAAAACATGTCAGGGTCAAGACGGGTTCGCCAACATTCGGAACTTGCACGTGATGATACAAGTTATTTGTTAAAATTTTATTTTTTGTTGTTTATTTAATTATTGTTATTTTGTTTAGTTGATAATTGTTTTTTTATTAAGAGTGGTTAATGATGGAGCCACAACCAAGTACGTCGAGAGATAAATCAACAGATTTTACTTCTCCGAAAAAGAAACGTCCAAAGGTATGTATAGGATATATATGAATGTTGTTTAGTAGTTTTAATTAAAACTGCTTGGTTCGGAATGTACTTTAAAGTTATCTTAAAGTTATTTAAAAAAAAAACAGCAACTCTAATAATAAAACTTTTCTTAATTTATTAAAGATACGTTTAAGTAAAGTATGTATATTATTTTAATTTAATTTTAGGTGACTAGTTTTAAGGTGAATGAAAAAATTATGTTTATTAATACCTACAAATATGTTAAAGAAACTTGGCCTAAGACTTAAGGCTTAAGGCACCCTTATCATTGTGAATTAAACTCCATTGGGTTGATTTGGGCTGGCGTAAAGGGGCACGTAGCTAGAAACAATACTCCGTTTAAATTTGAAAAAGTTAAGGCATTATTAAGTGACGGTATGGCGAAAGTCACGCCTGATCGGTGGAAGAAATGTGTGAAGCATGTTCAAAAAGAAGAAGATAAGTTTTTCAAATTTGATTTTATTGTAGATGACGTGACGGATAAATTTATTATACGTGTTACAGACTCTGATTCTGGCTCTACAGACTCAGAAGAATCGGCGTCTGACTGGATAAACAATGATTTCCTAAAAAAAATATTTTTGTCCTTATTTCCATAAACATAACATGACATATCATCAGTCCTGTACCCCTAAGGGGTAGGCAGAGATATTTACACCCACATTTTACCTGATATATTTAAGTCCCTATATAACGGGGGTAAGCCTGTTACCATACACCAGGCACACAGTTGTTAGGCAAGCGATATTCAGAAACATTATTATTATTCTCATTATTTAATTTAAATCTACATTACACAATAATTCAAATTATAACAAAATTTATAAAAAGTCTATTGTTTTGGTTTGCTAGACATTTTTAAAACTATATTGTCTACTTAAATATATAATCTAACTATCAAAAAGTTACGCACCCCTGCTATTCATAATAACCTTGCATTGGTATCACTTCTCGTTGGTCGTACTGTAGTACAAAGCCTAAGTACTTGAACTAAATTATGGCTTAATCAACCGGAGTAAAATAAAAAATATTAAGGATATATTGAGAAAATATAAAAGACGAGTAAAGAAACGTCACATGATGGGATCTTATTCTAAGAAATCTGAAAAATACCATTTCTAATTCCCAAGATTGTGGCAGCGTAAGATAACCCATCAGATTTTGATCCGATGGATGGTGTAACCATGTTGTTTACACCAGACATCAGTTAGCCATACAGGCGAAGAAAATCACAACCGTGACCTTTCTTTGAATTTCAATAACGCGTTTAGAGGCATTGTTAACCTTAGGAATATTATTAAAAACATACCATCAAGCAAGTAGATTGCTGCCTTGAATAAAAAAAAGTACTACTTCTAAAAACAAAGACGAGTTGCACAGTAACAATTAATCATTTTTTATCTGAATGATATTATGATTATCAAGGTAATAAAAAATAATAAACATATGCATCAGGAAATCACATATCTACTGTACTGTACTCACATCGTCATCGACCCTGTCTGGTGACATAGCTGCCGGATTTGTTTCCTGGAAACAATTGCTTAATGAAGAGCAAACTTTTGGGAAAAAAATAAGAAATTGAGTATACTTATTTACTTTTTACAAGACAATTATTTATTTCTGGAATTTTTTTTTTAATTATAAATATATGTAGATATTATGACGGCATTTAGAAATTTATTTTACTATGTATGACGCCTGCTCACTATAATGTTGCTCACTCAATTAATATTAAGTTATAAAATATTTATTGACTGAGTTCTATTTTATGTGAATACTATTCAAGTCAATAGTAGTTGTAGTAGTTAATTCATCATCATCATCATTACAGCCCTTTACAAGTCCACTGCTGAACATAGGCCTCCCCCAAGGAATGCCACAAAGCACGGTCCTGAGCCACCTGCATCCATCGACTTCCTGCATGTCTCACCAGGTCGTCACTCCATCTAGTGGGGGATCGCCTAACACTTCGCCTACCGGTACGAGGCTGCCACTCGAGAACCTTTCTTCCCCATCGGTTGTCGGTTCTTCGAGCTATATGGCCGGCCCAATGCCACTTCAGCTTACTAATCCGTTGGACTATGTCGGTTACTCTGGTTCTACTGCAGATATCCTCATTTCTAAATTTATGACGCTGAGACACCCCGAGCATAGCCCTCTCCATAGCTCGCTGAGCGACCTTGAGCTTCCTCATACGGCCAGCAGTGAAGGACCACGTCTCAGATCCGTAAGTCATCACTGGCAACGCGCACTGGTTGTACAATTTCGTTTTAAGGTTTTGAGGTATGTCTGACGAGAAGATGTGTCGTAGTTTCCCGAACGGTGCCCAGCCGAGTTGAATCCGTCAATTGACCTCTCGATCGAAGTTGGACTTACCTAGTTGGACTATTTGTCCCAGGTAAACATACTCGTCAACAACATCGAGCTTAGTGCTCCCAACAACTACCGGCATAGGTGTGACATGGACATTAAACATGATCTTTGTTTTGTCCATGCTCATCCTAAGACCTATTCGTTGGGAGACACTATTGAGGTCATTGAGCATGGTGCTTAGGTCCTCCAGCGATTCTGCCATAAGGACTATATCGTCGGCAAATCGAAGGTGAGTGATGTACTCGCCATTGTTGTTGATACCGTATCCTTTCCAGTCCAGAAGCTTGAAAACGTCTTCCAATGCAGCGGTGAAGGTTTTCGGGGATATGACGTCACCCTGTCTTACACCTCTCTGCAATTGGATAGGTTTCGTACTCGGATAGCCATCGTAGGTCCACTGTATAAACACTCCAGCACTTCGATATACCGACAGTCAACTTGGCACCGCTGAAGGGACTGCAGCACCGCCCAAATTTCGACGGAATTAAAGGCTTTCTCATAGTCCACATACGCCAGACATAGTGGCAAATTGTACTCCTCGGACTTCTGTACATTTTGCCGTAGGGTATGTATGTGGTCTATGGTGCTAAAGCCCTTTCGGAAACCGGCTTGTTCGGGAGGCTGGAAGTCGTCAAGTCTGCGCGCGAGACGATTCGTAATGACTCTCGAAAACAGCACGTAGACGCTGCTCAGAAGGGAAATCGGTCTGTGGTTCTTTAAGAGAGCATTGTCGCCTTTCTTGAAGAACAAGACCACCGCACTTCTGCTCCACGCCTCCGGAGTAGGGCCACCACGGAGGACGGAATTAAAGAGCTTCTGAAGGACTAAGTACCGACTTTCCACCCGCTTTCAGAAGCTCCGCTGTAATTCCATTTGCCGTTTTAAGGTGCTGGAGAGCCATTCTGAGCGAGATGAGAATGTACAAAAATAAATTTCTAAAAAGCCTGTACATTTCCGAAGGGTAGTGCAGAAGGCGGTTTCTCCAACTCCTCTTCCCTCCCCCACCCTCTCCCATTTTATTAGTTAGGGGTAGATAATCTAAAGCCCTTCCAGTATTTAGCTCCGCTTCCATCCTCGCCTGGGGCCTTGCCGTTTTTAAGGTGCTGGAGAGCCATTCTAATCTCGCTCAGACTGACGTCCGGGATATCTTCGGAATAGTGTCGGATAAGACTTGCTCTTGGATCGTTACTCACACTTGCGTGTGGCTCCAACGATGACGTGTACAGCTGCCCATAGAACCTCTCAATCTCATTCAAAATCTCAGGTGCCCCGGAAACGATGCTGCCACATTCGGTCTTTAGCTTTGACAGTTGGCTCTTTCTGGCAGACAGATCTCTGGCAAAGACTTTGGAGCATTGGTTCCGCTCGATCGCTTCTTCAATACAAGCTTTATTGAAGTTGCGTAAGTCCCGCCGCATGCATTTGGAGATTTGTCTGTTCAGTTGCCTGTATGCGGTCAAATCTGTTGAAGAATGTAGCTTCATCTCCCGTCTAACAGCCATGAGATTGAGTGTGATCGGAGAATTTTTGTGTTCGTCTGCGGCGGGTCTTGCAGAACTTAGCTCCGACCGCATGGACAGTTTCCACGAGCTTGTCATTCATATCGTCCACTTCATTGCAGTCTTCTAGGCACTGAAAACGGTTTTGTAACTCGAGCTGAAAAGTTTCGGGACTTTGGAACAGAGCACGAGGGGGACGGAGCGTTGACTTCATTAGACGAAACCTCTCCAACTTAACGTTTAGGTTCAGTGTGCCTCTAACCATTCGGTGATCATTAACACCGTATAGTGGGTTTTGGAGGAATGCATGGCCCTAGAGATATCCTCATACATTTCCTCCACCTCCTCATCGGGGTGTGCCGAGGTTGGTGCGTAAACCTGTATGACCTTCGGCGAATATCGTTTGGTGATTCAGAGTATAAGGTACGCAACCCTCGTCGACACACTCTCAATCTTTACAACGTTGTTAACGAGAGACTTGTGGACGATAAATCCGACAGCTCCTTGGGACAGATGGTCGCCCTCCCGGTGATAGAGCAAGTTGCCGGATTCGAGGATTACCGTGTCCTCCCCTTCTCTTCGGACTTCGGATAATCCTATAATATGCCAGCGTAACTTGTCTATCTCTTCTTCCAGCTCCACGATCTTCTCGTCAGTCCTCAGGGTGCGTGCGTTGTATGTTGCCAGGTCGAGTCGTCTTAGGTGGCAACCGAACCTCCACCGGAGATTCTTAGCACCCCCTGCCCCGCCGTTACCATGGTCGCCACCGTAGCCAGAAATAGCGGGGCCGCCAGGGACTGGGGCCGTTTATTATTGTCATTGCTCATGGGGGGTATATTGCCATAGTTGCCACGCTTGGCGAGCGGGTTGGTAACCACAGTTTTTTTATTCTAATTTTTGCTGTTATCCGGAAGATGCTGCTGCCCATCTTCTGCCTGTTTCCCTTTGTCGCCTTTTACGATACCCACGGGAAGATATGGGGTAGTGATATTCTTAACCGCCACTACACTCCGGTAGTAGTTAATTAAATAATTAAAATAATTTCTACGATAAATTTTAACTTTAGAACAATATCAAATATATTATCATATATGGGGTTATATTTCAATCTATCTTTGTTTTTAGGTATATGTCAGGGCTAACGTTAGTGTAATTAATATATTTAAGATAAGCCGGCTAAACTTAGATTTAGTTTTGAGTGTTAGGTATAGTTATCTTTTTTCATATTAATCAGTCTAAACTTAACCCTTTCGCTGTCCCGTGCGGGAGATATAGGTCATTGCTATTGTCTTACTATTGTGTCTGAAAACCGGACAGCGAAAGTGTTAAGTTTAACTGCAATTTATCAGCTAAAATGTAGAAGCAAATGAAAATGAAAGAAAAATAAAAGTTTGAAATTTTTTTTATAGGATAGGGTGACAAACGATCACACAGCCCACCTGATGGTAAGTGGTTGCTGTGACCCATAGACATCTACATTTATCCTCAATAAAGAATCAAAATGCAGATGCGTCGTCACCCGTGAGGAAGATGGAATGCCTCTTTTCCAGTAAAATGGGTCTCCGGTTCTCTACACTCACCATACGAAACACAGCAGCATTAAGCTGCCATTTTACGCTGGTATTCTGTGAGAGCGTGGTCCTTCCCCGGTCGAGCCGATCCATTCGTGCTACAACTATACTACTAATATAGCTGCAGCATGGCTCTACCACGTATAAAACATTTAATAAACAATAACTAAATCTACACTATACTTGTTTACTTAATTCGATTTAATCATGACTAAATGCTGGTAGTTAGCTGGTTAAGGTTAGGGCTAGGGGGGCTCTCGGGCTACCATATTATTTATGTCATTATTATTGGGCATTAATGAGCTGTATAATTCTGCTCACGTGTGCTTTTGTAAGTCGTGGACAACTATAATGGTTGAAATTACTTTATCACAAAAATATTTTGTATACATTATTTATTCCGTTATGATGTTATCCCCGAAAAAAATAGACGAATGAATGATTCCTTAGTATTGTTACTTTATGATATGACAGTTAACAAAAGAAACAGTCCCAAAATAATTAATTACCGCAACTTTCAATATACTTTGACGTACGGTATTATTTATTCTGTGATACGGTTCACGCTTTCCTATAAAAAGTTAATAAAGGAAAAGAAAGAGAAAGACTAGCAAAAGGAAACAGTAATTTCATTGGGTTAAAAATAGTTAAGCGATATGAATAACAATACAAATAAAACAAACCTGTTCTAACTCATTTTCTGTTGTACTCTGTCCGGTTAAGATGGCCAGCTTTTTGGCAGGTGTATCACTAATGGTGGACATGCGACGTTTCATACGTGTCTGTGGCGACTGTAATAACAAATGTCACCAATTCAAAATCATTTCATATTAGTTTACAAATCAAAATAATGTGTATTAAGAAGAATAATAAACAAGTTGTAAAATTAAAAATTTTGTACAACCGACTTCAATATAAATTATTAAGGATAACTCAAAAACTATTGGTCAGACCTTGATCAAATCTATATGGGACAACATGAGAAGCACCAGCTCTCAGACAAAAAAAAAAGAATCATCAAAATCTTTTACCTTGTAAAACCGTATATAACATATTTGTTATATATGTTATATGTATAATCTAAAACGGTATATAACACATTTGTCATATATGGTTTTAGATTACATATTTTGTTGTATTTACCAAACGGATTGAAACACAAAAACCTGTGTTTGTTTTACACAAACTATGCCTATATCATCATTGGTTCATCAGAACTTAACATACACAAACGCATGAATTTCCACTGAACAGGCTGATCGCGTTTGCAACCAATCAAATAAACGAGCAACACCTGTTAAAATATTAACCGGCATAAATTAAAGCTTACCTCTAATTTTTCTCCTGTGCTGTCCTCAAAACAGGACAACTGAAACAAATTTGAAAATATATTGTTAATTTACTACAAACATAGGACAGTATTAGTATGTAGATAAATAATGTTGATAAAGAATCGTTTAGGGAACATTTATGAGTTAGCTTCTGAAATTTTTGAAAATTTTATTTTTATTCTTTCGAAGTGGTATGGCTGATTTACACAGGGACAGTAACTGGCTCCAAATTCGAGACAAGTCAGTGCTGACCCGCTACTGGCATAATGTAAATTGATTTGAAGTTAATACAGCACTGTCTGCGCGACTACTGACTGCGTGTAAACGGTGCAAGTCAGTCGTCGGCGTCAGCACTGGCGGCTGTTACTATTCCCGTGTAAATCAGACTGTATGTTAGGGCTGACTCTATATCTAAATGATATGATGAGAAATTGTGTGATAAGGGAAAAATGTTGTTTACAAAAATATGTATGTTGTAACGAGGATTAAGAAAGGAATACTTTGGTAGTTTGAACAAGTAGAAAGAATGAACGAGGGAATAATGACTAAGCAAATACCTCTCGCAGGAGTGGCAAAGTCGGTAATACCGACGAGCATGTATGCGTGGATATATGGATGAGAAAGAAGCTGGAAGGGTGTGTCAGGATCGTGCCAAATGGAAGTTTGTAGTCTCCGTCTACATATCTAACAGGCGTCAGAGTTGATGGATTTATGGATTACGAATATTTTTTTTATAATACGCTGACGTCTAGTAGTGGGATATTAGAGGCCGATGGAATATTATTGAGGGATTGCGGGGTCGGGCTGGTATGTAAAAAATAAAATTTGTCAAGATGCAACGGATTATCTGCCATGAATGAATGGGTCTGCTCGACCGGGAGAGACTACGCCTGCGCAGATTACCAGAGTGAAACAGCAGCATAGTCTGCAGACTTCCGGCAACAGTTATTAACAAACAACATGACAACGCATTTTTTTTTCATTCTCAATCGAGGATAGAAGCATCTATGGAACACAAAATTCACTCACCATCAGGTGAGCTGTGTACTCACTCTCTTGTTTCCCATACTTCTATAAAAAATAGAAAAATCTTTACATAATATTAGGTCGGGAAAAATGTTTCTTCGTATTTAATATACAAATTAAAGACTTTTTTCTTCAAAGTTTAATTACATTTAATTATAATATATATGTGCCATTTTGTTCGATAACTTGTTGCGATCTTGTAGGTAGTGACATAATCCCGTTGCTGTAGAAATCTTGGGATTTTTGATTAAAAAAATGCGACAAGTAGTTTTGACAGTCCTCTTCTAATGTTAACCTCTTAATGTTAATCCACCATATAATCCTGACCTCGCACCCGGGCAGAATTATATGGTGGATGCATTATCTCTTCCCAACCAAGCTCTCTAATTTTTTGCTGAGTGGCCAAAGATGTGTGTGATCTGGCGTTATCATGATGAAAGACCATTCCTTTTCTGTTGACCAATTCCGGTCGTTTTTTATCAATTTCTTGCTTGAGTCTCAATGGTTGTTGGCAGTAGAGATCCGAATCGATGGTTTCGCTCGGCGGTAAAAGTTCGTAATAAACGATGTGGAAGGGCATCTCACCATACACACAGTATCACCTTACTGATTGATAATCCGGGTTTCGCTACAGTCTGTGGAGCTTGACTACCCTTTGACCATGATCTTTTTCGTTCTTTTCATATTGATCATGGTGATCCACTTTCATCACCAGTGATCAATCTTTTCAAAAATGGTTCAGTTTCATTACGTTTCAATAGAGAATCGCAAATGAGTACAACATTCATTAGGCTTCTTTCAGTGAGCTCGCGTGGTACCCAAATAACGAGCTTTTTTGTATAGCCAGACTTTTTCGAATGGGTCAAAACTGTTAATATGCCGATCTTGCTCCACTTTGTCAAATATGGCATCGACTTTATCCGTATGAGGGCGACCATAGTGAGCTGCACCTTCGACATCAAAATTCCCGGACTGGAAACGCTTGAACCAACTTTGTGCTACTCTTACTGATACTGCATTAGGTTCATAAATGTCACAAATTTTTTTCGCGGCTTAAGTTTCATTTTTCCCTTTTTTATAATAAAACTAGAATCTATCGAATTTCTTCGTTAGATTCATTCATTTTGGCGCCCAAAAAGTGTTTTTTACTTTTTATCTTTCTTTTTCTTAATGTCCTATATGTATTGATATTATAACCAGCCAGATACAAACAGTACAACCAAAGAGATTTTTCTTAAATTTTATACAAACAAAATACGAAAAAACTTTTTAACCGACCTATTAATATGCTTAAGTTCGAAAATCTTCCTGAATAAATTTTATAAATGACGACGAAAACCGAATAAAAATCCATCAAGTAGTTTTACAGTTTTAAGCAAATATATATACAGATATGGGGGATAGACTTTGGTTTCAACTACTTAATGATGCACTAGATATAATATGTTGTAATTTGATATTTAATGTACCGTAATGTTGGGCCTGTCGTTAATAACAATGGGCGGTAACTCCTTTCGCTCTTGCTCGAAAGTCGCATACAATTCGTTCCGCAGCTTATCGGTCGCTACTTGGCACTCGTTTAACATGTCGTCGATTTCTTTATTCTCCTCTGAAATTTTAAATTTTATAAGTCTCATATTTCTGTGGCTGTGTAAGAATATCCACTACCCTATTTCGACCCGTGAGTATCGTAAGAGGCGACAGAGGAATATTAAAATAGAAGATGGGCATCAGCATCTTTCTGATGATAACAGCTCAAAATAATAAAAAACTGCGGTTGCCAACCTGCCTGCCAAGTGTGCCAACTGTGGCTAAATGCTTCAGATGAGGTAATCTATGGGAGAGGCTTATGTTCAGCAGTGGCTTTATAGGCTGTAATGGATCGATGGATGGCTATTTCGTAGTGAATATATCATCATTATCATCATTACAGCCCTTCACAAGTCCACTGCTGAACATAGGCCTCCCCCAAAGAATGCCACAAAGCACGGTCCTGAGCCACCTGCATCCATCGACTTCCTGCAAATCTTACCAGGTCGTCACTCCATCTAGTGGGGGGACGCCCTACACTTCGCCTGCCGGTACGAGGCTGCCACTCGAGAACCTTTCTTCCCCATCGGTTGTCGGTTCTTCGAGCCATATGGCCGGCCCATTGCCACTTCAGCTTACTAATCCGTTGGGCTATGTCGGTCACTCTGGTTCTACTGCGGATATCCTCATTTCTGAGTTTATCACGCAGAGAAACTCCGAGCATAGCCCTCTCCATAGCTCGCTGAGCGACCTTGAGCTTCCTCATCCGGCCAGCAGTGAAGGACCACGTCTCAGTTCCGTATGTCATCACTGGCAACACGCACTGGGTGTACAGTCTCGTTTTCAAGTTTTGAGGTATACCTGACGAGAAGATGTGCCGTAATTTCCCGAACGCTGCCCAACCGAGTTGAATCCGTCGATTGACCTCTCGGTCGAAGTTGGACTTACCTAGTCGGACTATTTGTCCCAGGTAAACATACTCGTCAACAACTTCGAGCTTAGTGTTCCCAACAACTACCGGCATAGGTGTGACATGGACATTAAACATGATCTTTGTTTTGTCCATGTTCATCTTAAGACCTATCCGTTGGGAAACACTATTGAGGTCATTGAGCATAGTGCTTAGGTCCTCCAGCGATTCTGCCATAAGGACTATATCGTCGGCAAATCGAAGGTGAGTGATGTACTCGCCATTGATGTTGATACCGTATCCTTTCCAGTCCAGAAGCTTGAAAACGTCTTCCAATGCAGCGGTGAAGAGTTTCGGGGATATGACGTCACCCTGTCTTACACCTCTCTGCAATTGGATAGGTTTCGTACTCTGGTTCTGTACTCGGATAGCCATCGTAGCCCTACTGTACAAGCACTTCAACACTTCGATATACCGACAGTCAACTTGGCATCGCTGAAGGGACTGCAGCACCGCCCAAATTTCGACGGAATCAAAGGCTTTCTCATAGTCCACATATATATATATATATATATATATATATATATATATATATATACGGGCTGTGGCGCTACGTTAAAAACAATAAATTATATCAACAACTCTATCGTTAGCGTTTGTAGCCAAAAAAGTAATCAAATAGAACAGTAATTCACAAGTTAAGCCACAAGAAATTTATTTCGTTTTAGCGAATATTTTGCACATGATGTATATACATCACTTTTCACATGGTGAAGTTCGCTAGGCGTCAATAAACTGCGCCTTCAAAATAAAAAAGCGACGTTGCCATTCCGACGTTCTATCCCGACATCCTAGATCCAAATCCTAGAACGACATCTTCTTTAATTTGGACAAAATTAACTAATAATGACCGAGTTTACATTTACGAGGGCGGCACTGAAAATTTCGGGAATCAAGGAAGTGACACAACATTACTATTTAAAAATGTATTTATAGCTTTTTCGAAGCATTCTCCGCGAAATTTGACACATTTTTCCATACGATGGAACCAATCATTGAAGCAACCATTCCATTCGGAAGTTGGGGTCTCCAAAATAGCCGTTTTGTAGGCGTCCACAGCTTCTTCAGGTGATGGAAATCTCTGTCCACGCAATTTATTCTTTATTTTAGGGAAAGTATAGAAATCATTAGGGCTTAGGTCGGGGCTGTAACGGCGGATGGTCTAATAATTCTATGTTTTCTTGCTCTAAAAACTCTTTTGTTCTGTGTGCGGTGTGAGAACTCGCATTGTCGTGATGGAGGATGATGCGGCGGTTGCAGTTCTCTTTACGGAGTTCAGAAACGACCTGTGGCAAACAAATGCCAGCATACCATTCTGCATTAACCGTTATTTGTCCCTCAAGAGGAATAGTCGTAACATGGCCGGTTTTGGAGACATACGTGGCCACCATTTTTTTTTTTGCAACACTCCGTGAACGAACAATTTTTGTTGGCTTTAACTCATTTTCGAACACCCAAACTCGTGACTGGTTTTTTGTTTTGGGTTCGTACGCGTATATCCAGGATTCGTCACCTTATAAGTTGTTGTATACAGCATTTGAGGATCCTGCGTGGAATCTTTCGAGAGTTCTGACGCACCAAGTAACGCGAGCCGCTTTTTGCTCTTCACAGAGCGAATGCGGTATCCATCGGGAAAACAACTTTTTTACACCTAATTGTTCATGCAAGATTATTTGTATTTGACTCATGCCAATGTCTAAAGTTGCCTGAATTTCGCGGTATGTCACATGTCGATCTTCCTCAATCAGCTTACGCACAGCATCAACGTTTTCTTGGGTGACTGCAGTTTTTGGACGACCTTGACGGGGATCATCACTGAGCTTGACACGTCCACGTTGAAATTTTTTTTTTATAGGATCGGGTGACAAACGAGCACACAGTCCACCTGATGGTAAGTGGTTACTGTGACCCATAGACATCTACATCTATCCTCAATAAAGACTCAAGATGCAGATGCGTTGTCACCCGTGAGGACTAAGATGGAATGCCTCTTTGCCAGTAAAAAGGGTCTCCGGTTCTCTACACTCACCGTACGAAACAGAGCAGCGTTAAGCTGCTATTTTACGCTGGTTTTCTGTGAGAGCGTGGTCCTACCCCGTTCGAGCCGACCCATTCGTGCTACAACCATAATATAGCTGCAGCATGGCTCTACCACGTAGAATAATTGAGCAAACCAGCGATAAATTGTGGTTTTTGATGGGGCTTCATCACCAAATGCAGAAATCATCCGGTCAACACACTGTTTTTGTGTTAAACCACTTCGAAAGTCTCTTGAATTTTCTCGAGTCAATTCCATTTTCTCAACGACTAAACAAGTTTGACAAAACCTTGTGACAAGACGGAGAATCTTTTTTTAAATAAATAAATGGTATTCGATTTTTAAAACCAAGGAGTTTTAAATTAAAAAGATTTTAATATAACAGGAACAGTGGAAATATTCCATTCCCGATACTTTTAGTGCAGCCTATGTATTGTATTTAACGTAACGTTACACTGTACTCTTTCCATCTTTTCTTTCTAATTTAAATCATATAATTAATAAATACAATTGTAATCTATTAAACTAATGATAACAAGTAAATAGCTAAGCAAATGCTCGTAAATGAACAGCCTAGATTCTATCGTGTAATACCACAGACAACTGAAGTTATTATTATAATTACTATTATACAAAATAAAACAAAAAAAAAATATGATCGTTACTATTCAAACGGTTTATTTCATCTTGCAAAATAACTTCCGCGTCGGTAAGTCGGGAATCCATTTTGAATTTCTTCCACGTTTCGTTAATCATGTCCGCCAATTGTTCTTCTAGAAGTCTGCAATACAAATTTTAAAAGCATTAAAAATTTGCTACTTCTATTAGATAAAAAAGTAAGTATTCTGTAGATTTAAGAAATAGTAATAAATATTGATCCTAATACGTCATGAAATAATCATATAAATACTGGAAGGGCTTTAGATTATCTACCCCTAACTAATAAAATGGGAGAGGGTGAGGGAGGGAAGAGGAGTTGGAAAACTCCCCTTCTGCACTACCCTTCGGAAATGTAGGCTTTTTAGAAATTTATTTTTGTACATTCTCATCTCGCTCAGAATGGCTCTCCAGCACCTTAAAACGGCAAATCCCCGGGCGAGGATGGAATTACAGCGGAACTTCTGAAAGCGGGTGGAAAGTCGGTACTTAGTCCTTCAGAAGCTCTTTAATTCCGTCCTCCATGGTGGCCGTACTCCGGAGGCGTGGAGCAGAAGTGCGGTGGTCTTGTTCTTTAAGAAAGGCGACAATGCTCTCTTAAAGAACTACAGACCGATTTCCCTTCTGAGCAGCGTCTACGTGCTGTTTTCGAGAGAATCGACGACTTCCAGCCTCCTGAACTAGCCGGTTTCTGAAAGGACTTTTGCACCATAGACCGCGTACATACCCTTCGGCAAATTGTACAGTATACCGAAGAGTACGTACAATCTGCCACTTTATCTTGCGTATGTGGACTATGAGAAAGCCTTTGATTCCGTCGAAATTTGGGCGGTGCTGCAGTCCCTTCAGCGGTGCCAAGTGGACTCTTCAGTATATCGAAGTGCTGAGGTGTTTGTACAGTAGGGCTACGATGGCTTTCCGAGTACAGAACCAGAGTACGAAAGCTATCCAACTGCAGAGAGGTGTAAGACAGACAGGATGACGTAATATCCCCGAAACTCTTCACCGCTGTATTGGAAGACGTTTTCAAGCTACTGAACTGGAAAGGATACGGTATTAACATCAATGGTGAGTACATCACTCACCTTCGATTTGCCGACGATATAGTCCTTACGGCAAAATCGCTGGAGGACCTAAGCACCATGCTCAATGACCTCAATAGTGTCTCCCAATGGATAGGTATTAAGATGAACATGAACAAAGCAAAAATCATATTTAACGTCCATGTCACACCTATGCCGGTAATTGTTGGGAGCACTAAGCTCAAAGTTGTTGACGAATATGTTCAACTGTGACAAATAGTCCGACTAGGTAAGTCCAACTTCGACCGAGGTCAATCGCTCGGCTGGGCAGCGTTCGGGATATTAAGACACCTCTACTCGTCAGGCATACCTTAAAACTAGATTGTGCAACCTGTGCGTGTTGCCAGTGATGACTTATGATTCTGAGACGTGGTTCCTCTCTGCTGGCCGTATGAGGAAGCTCAAGGTCGCTCAGCGAGCTATGAAGAGGGCTATGCTCGGAGTTTCTCTGCGTGATAAACTTAGGAATGAGGATATCCGCAGTAGAACCAGAGTGACCGACATAGCCCATCGGATTAGTAAGCTGAAGTGGCAATGGGCCGGGCATATAGCTTGAAGAACCGACAACCGATGTGGAAGAAAGGTTCTCGAGTGGCAGCCTGGTACCGGCAGGCGAAGTGTAGGGCGTAACCCCAATAGATGGAATGACGACCTGGTAAGACATGCAGGAAGTCAATGGATGCAGGTGGCTCGGGACCGTGCTTTGTGGCATATCTTGGGGAAGGCCTATGTTCAGCAGTGGACTTGTGAAGGGCTGTGATGATGATACAATAATAAAATAAACAAATAATAACAATAATATAATAATAAATTACAAATAAATAATATTTCACAATTAATTCCATATTTAACATGGTGACATCTTGATATACAGCAAAATAGTTTGTATGGGTTCTAAAATCATATCAGATGATCATGTAATACATTAGAGAGTATTACTGATTTCTTATCAACTCTCTAAGAAATTATTTTCAACTTTATGAGCAACTGCTACGGTGTCAACACAAAAATATTAATACCTAATTGTTTTTCATATTATACAGCTTTTATAGGGAACAAAACATTTATAATAGCATTTCATCTATACAAATAAATAAAATTTAAGTGTCTCTTTGTAATATAAAAATAACAGCTTAGCACTAAATACATATGAAAATGCATACGGTACTTAAAACAAAAACACAATTTTTAACATTTTTGTCTGTCTGTCTGTCCGTCTGTCTGTCTGTCTGTTTGTTCCGGCTAATCTCTGAAGTGTAGGACCGATTTTGACGGGACTTTCACTGGCAGATATCTGATATTATAAGGAGTAACGTAGGCTACTTTTACTTTAGAAAAAGAATTAGGGTTCCGCGCAAATAAATTAAAACATGAGTTATGTGGATGAAGAATGTTTACTTTAATCGAGATCTTGGATCACATTGGATGGTATGTCTTTAAATCGATTCATAGATCGAATTGCATGCTCTTGAATCGATCTAGTAAAAACAGATTCAAAAACTAAAATAAATATAGGTTACGAAACTTCACCCACCAATCTGTCAATTTCTTACGACAAACGTCAAATATTTTAATTGTTTATTTTGTGCATATAAAACACTTGTATCAATAAAAACTAAGAGTTAGTTGAATCTATTAATGTAATGAGTACCCTACAAAAACGAAACTTCTTTAATTTTGTAATTACTTACTTAGCGCCGGCTTCCCCAATCGTTTCCTTGTCGTCATCCCCCACTACCTCGTCTTCTTCAGATTCGGAGTCGGATATCTCAACCAAATCTTGCTTACATTTGCTTGTTTCTAGTTCAAGGAGCGGCATAAAAGTTCTGATTCCGTTGATCAACTTCTAAAGATAGAAAAATAATAATAATATAGCATAATACATAGACTGCACTAAAAGTATCGGGAATGGAATATTTCCACTGTTCCTGTCATATTAAATCTTTTTTTGAAAACTCCTTGGTTTTAAAAATGGAATACCATTTATTTATTTAAAAAAAGATTCTCGGTCTTGTCACAAGGTTTTGTCAAACTTGTTTAGTCGTTGAGAAAATGGAATTGACTCGAGAAAATTCAAGAGCGATGATTTATTATGACTTTCGAAGTGGTTTAACACAAAAACAGTGTGTTGACCGGATGATTTCTGCATTTGGTGATGAAGCCTCATCCAAAACCACAATTTATCGCTGGTTTGCTGAATTTCAACGTGGACGTGTCAAGCTCAGTGATGATCCCCGTCAAGGTCGTCCAAAAACTGCAGTCACCCAAGAAAACGTTGATGCTGTGCGTAAGCTGATTGAGGAAGATCGACATGTGACATACCGCGAAATTCAGGCAACTTTAGACATTGGCATGAGTCAAATACAAATAATCTTGCATGAACAATTAGGTGTAAAAAAGTTGTTTTCCCGATGGATACCGCATTCGCTCTGTGAAGAGCAAAAAGCGGCTCGCGTTACTTGGTGCGTCAGAACTCTCGAAAGATTCCACGCAGGATCCTCAAATGCTGTATACAACATCGTATCATGTGACGAATCCTGGATATACGCGTACGAACCCGAAACAAAAAACTAGTCACGAGTTTGGGTGTTCGAAAATGAGTTAAAGCCAATAAAAATAGTTCGTTCACGAAGTGTTGCAAAAAAGATGGTGGCCACGTTTGTCTCCAAAACCGGCCATGTTACGACTATTCCTCTTGAGGGACAAAGAACGGTTAATGCAGAATGGTATGCTAGCATTTGTTTGCCACAGGTCGTTTCTGAACTCCGTAAAGAGAACTGCAACCGCCGCATCATCCTCCATCACGACAATGCGAGTTCTCACACCGCACACAGAACAAAAGAGTTTTTAGAACAAGAAAACATAGAATTATTAGACCATCCGCCGTACAGCCCCGACCTAAGCCCTAATGATTTCTATACTTTCCCTAAAATAAAGAATAAATTGCGTGGACAGAGATGTTCATCACCTGAGGAAGCTGTGGACGCCTACAAAACGGCCATTTTGGAGACCCCAACTTCCGAATGGAATGGTTGCTTCAATGATTGGTTCCATCGTATGGAAAAATGTGTCAAATTTCGCGGAGAATACTTCGAAAAGCAATAAATACATTTTTAAATAGTAATGTTGTGTCACTTCCTTGATTCCCGAAATTTTCAGTGCCGCCCTCGTATGTACTTACAAAACTATATAGGGCAGGGTAACTCAGGGTCTAGATTTAAATTTTTATAGTACACGAGCAAACCGAATTCAAATTCCTCAATGGCACCAATGAAACCATTGTTATCAATGGCGGAGGAAACGAAAACTGTATTCTTGAAATATTACAAATACACATCATAATACAGTCGAACAACACTGAGCTATATTATGGTTGTAGCACGAATGGGTCGGCTTGTACTACAATCATATTGTTACAAGCTTGGGGTTCAAGACAATTAAAAACTGCCGATTGAATTACCAAAATTGACACTTTAATTACAAATTAAAACCACACTAATAATATATAGGGCCTCAGATAGTTTCCAGAACCTTCTACTGTAGAAACATCTAGAATGTTCGAGTACATATCGGTCCCAAAATTTCTAGAAGGATCTTGACTCTTTCTAGTTCTGCTACTAGATACTAGAGGGCGCTAGTGGTAACTAGTGTTGCCATGTACAAGACATTAAGAGTGGCGCGCAACAATATTATAGTTGCAACATCATGACCAATGAGTCGGTATATCAGCAGTCTAATGCTGCTGTATTTTGTATGACAAGTGCAGAGAACCGAAGACCTTTATTACTGGTAATGAAGCATTCTATCTTAGTTCTCAGGGATGACAACGCATCTACATTTTGATTCTTAATTGACAATAGAAAACAGCATCCACTTACCATCAGGTGGACTGTTTGCTCGCTTGTCAAACTTATTATATAAAAAAATACATGTAAAGTTTGCAAACATAGTCTTCACTGCTCAAAAACCCAGTTAGCAGTGGGACATATACAGGCTGTTGTTATGCATGTTAAACATAATATTCTGTAGTAAAACTATGCCATCTTATTACAAAATGTAGTTTATTGATAGTCTCAGGTTTAAACTATGGCTTAGAAAAAGTCCCTTAGATTCGCGAAATCTGACTTTTGCTGTCAATGGAATCACTCCAACACTCCATTTTGGTCAGATATTTATATTAAATTTCTTTTGTGAAACAGATTTTAGCTTAAGCTTGAGAAACTAACTTTTTGTAACAAGGCTGATTTTTACTAGACTTGTCAATTTTATTTTTAGTTTTTAATGGTTCATATCTTACTCTTAATTTTCTTAAAAAGCTAAAACGCTATTCTAATTAAAACTAGGAGTGTCAAAAAAAAAAAATAATTAAAATTGTTGATAAATGAGTAACCCAGTTCTTACCTCATTTCTCTTTGCAACTGTCTCGGCACAAGGCTCACAGACTAACGGCTTTTTTTTCCGATCCGCTTCGTAGAAAGTCAACACAGTAGAATCAGCCACATAATACTTTGCATCAATAGGGCTTTTACAAGCAGTGTTAACACATTTGGTTTTCCCGCGCAGTTTATCTAATTCCTCTTGTATCTTTACTTTACTGACTGTATGTAGAAAATGTTAAAAATTAATAATAGATTTGAATGTTGATCATGAATTACACATTTATTATAAAATTTAAAAAATGAACTCACCTTTCTGTAGAACCTCATCATCATCAGAATCAACATTGAACACTTCTAACCCCATTGATGATTTAAGCTGCAAAATTATAATATGTAATGAATAAAAAATGAAGAATGAATGAATGAAGTTTGTTGACCACTGGACACAAATGAAATGAGGTAAAAATCCCTTTTTGCAAATTCGTCATCATCATCATTATTATCATTACAGCTTTTCACTGCTGAACATAGGCCAAGAAATGCAATAAAACACGATCCTAAGCCACCCGCATCCATCGAAATCCTGCATAATTCCTGCATGACCTGGTAAGATCATCACTATCTACTAATTGCTACCCTACACTTCGCGTAGCGGTACAAAGCTGCCATCAAAGAATCCCTATTGGTTGTCTATTCTATATAATATATATAAGTTATATGACGGCAATTCATTTTTTTCAATTTCATTTTCAAATGCAATTCCTCAAGTCTTGTTAGGCTACGGATACAAATAGAATAAATTATTGCGGCCAGTAAACCTTTCTCTTACATTTCAAAAACCTACAACATAATACTTTAAAAATTGAGCCTCATTTTATTATATAGATAGACAAGCTGGCAGGCAGACGTCGTTCTGCCCTTTCCGCGACCCTTCGTCCTATATAAATCCTTAAATCGTAATAAAAAATATTGAGGGTCACTTATCGGGATAAAAACTATCCTATCTCTCAAGATGGACCAAACTGCACAGAGTATGCAAACTTTCATTGAAATCAGTTCAATAGTTTAGGAGTTCATCGCGGATAAACAATGTGACACGTAATTTTTATATATAAAGATTACATGGAAAAATTAAAATAGAATTTAAGATTTGAGAGTCATATTCTGTATCTTATCCATGTAGTTTATTTTGACCGTGTTATAGCAGTGTAAAAATATCAACTACCCACTATTATATTAACTATTTGATCATACCGTAGGTAGGATCATACCGACAGAGGGAAACTAAATAGGGATATGGGCAGCAGCATACTGAGCGTGGCAGAATGGCAAAAATCCCCCCTATGATGCAATATATGGGGGAGGCCTATGTTCAGCAGTGGAGATTTGATTGGCTGTAATGGTGATGGATCTGCATTACATTTACGATTTTCACATATTGAATAAAAATTAAACACATTAGACAGCCATCTATACACATATCTTTATTAATACATAATAGTTCCTTGTAGGGGCGGCTTGACAGAATTCACTACCCTTTATCAACCCGTGGGTGTCATAAAGGGGAAGAGGGAAATGGCACAGGAAATGGGCAGCAGTATCTTCCTAATAGCAGTTCATATTAATAAAAAAAAACTATGTTTGTCGACCCACTAGACCTACGTTCAGCAGAGGACTTTTGATATACTGCTATGAATGAATGAAAACACAATAGCCACTATTTCTTGCGCCCTGGTTTGTATTTTAAATCTCGTATTCTTAGAATCGTTTTATTTCCATGGCATTTTTGTTTGCCTTAAAGCATCAGATAATTTAAAAAAAAAGACATACATGTACATTCAATACGAAATTTACATACATACATATCACTTTTTTTTAATAGAATAAAGGTGACAATCGAGCACACAGTCGACCTGATGGTAAGTGGTTAGTGGTTGCTGTGTCCTATAGACATCGACATCTAACTTCGTTTACGAATTAAAATGTAGATGCATTGTCAGCCGTGAGGACTAAGACGGAATGCCTTTTTTCCAGTAAAATGGGTCTCCAGTTCTCTACACTCACCATACGAAACACAACAGCATTAAGCTGCTATTTTACGCTGGTATTCTGTGAGAGCGTGGTCCTTCCCCGGTCGAGTCGACCCATTCGTGCTACAACTATACTATTAATATAGCTGCAGCATGGCTCTACCACGTAAAAACCATAGAATTACCATTTCTTTAACCGAAATTTTAGGTTTATCCATCGCACCATCTTCTTGCTCTTTGCTCTCTAAATTACTATCAGATGAGTATTTTTCATTCATTTCTGTTAGCAGACTGGATCGGGACACATCTTCCGACGTTATTGGTGTCTCCGCTTCCACTCGCGCCTTTGAAATTGTTTCTTTCGTTTCACTAAAATCTTTAACATTAAAAAAATAATTAGTTTTTATTAAATTCATTCACATAATTCAAGAAATCTGATACAAAGAGACAATTGCAAATAAGTAGTTAGTTAGTAAAAATAACCATTAAAGTTTAAGTGCATTAAAGTTTAATATGGACAAGAATATACTTTATCACCATCATCACAACCCACTGTTAAGCTGTATGTTTGGCCTTATAAACTTCTTTTTTTTTTCATTAAGTCGTAGACAGAAGTCCATTGTTGGATATTTACTTCATCCATTTGGGAGGATTTTTCTTAATAGCCACACTTGGAAGTCGAATTGGCGATCGCAGTGCTAGACGTCTCGCACCTTGGACGCTGCCCGTTGCCGGTCATAATATTTTACGTATGACATTAACAAAAGGTTGAACCGCCATGAGATTTTCTGGCATTCCTTTTAGTCGCATTTTACGACAACAACGGGACGCAATGGAGTGGTGGGTATTCTTACTTGTTTTATAAACTATATTATTTGTATTTTGTCCATTAAACAAATTACAAAAAACAGGATACCTGTGGAGTTTGTTTCGCCAGTTCTTCTCCGGTCAGAGAAATCTAATTTTTAAACAATAGTAGATTTATTAATTTCACTTAATTATATTTGATAATAAATACGACTTGATTACTTTTGTACATTGAAAAAGACGTATGTTCTTAGAGATAACCACAAAATTTGGCCCTGAGTCACTTATTAACTTTCTACTTATTATCTGACGAGGACATCAAAATATATATTATACACCGAATGTGTAGCTATAACGATTTATCATATTTATCCGAATACTCTAAACATTGAAAAATCTAATATTACGGATTTAATCGCGTTTATTTTAACTTTTTTTCAATCGTGACGCTCCGTGCGCCTTACAGCATCAATGAAGGTCAATCATCTTAGCTCCCCCCCCCCCATGGGTGGGCCACTGGGGGGGGAGCTTAGTTGATTGACCTTCAACTCATTAATGTTAATTTTTGATCCAAGATACTCCAGTAAGATACTGTATAGTCCGTTCGCTCAGATAGTGTCGGTACACCGGTAGGCGCACTTATTATTTTGTGTTTATTTTATTATTTTTTTACTGTTTGTTAAATAAATGTTTTTCTATTCTAAAAATAAAATAGAACACTATTTTATTCTTATGGTTATTGTAATAAAGTACGAATATAAATAATAAACACAAGTTAGATAGCAAAGAAACTTTCACTAAGGTGCTTCGATTTAAAGTGCCAAATTATCCTGCTGGTGTACGCCGCACGCGGCGACCTTTGATGTCGCAGCGACGCCATTGACAAGCAACGGCGCGACACAACGCCGACCGTATCAAAGCGAATCGACTATAAGCTCGATTTGCGTAGATTAGACAAAAAATAATGTTTTAAAATTAAGGCTCAATCCCCCTTGTGACAAAGTTACAAGAGGGAGTCTACATAAAAGTCTACTAATGGACCCGGCCCCCTTGACAGTGGTGACGTCCTGCACTTTAGGCGCTGCTTCCCATCGCCGGTTGCTGTACGTTACGTCCGGCGTAAACGAGATGATATACCGCCATCTATTGGAAGCTACAAGATTATTCTGGTTTTTCTGTAGTCGCCTCTTAAGACACCCTGCGGTAATGGTTTATATTTTATATTAGGTTGCGTGGAACCCTAACTTTTTTTTCTAAAATATAAGTAGCCAAGTTACTCCTTATAACATCAGCTATCTGTCAGTGAAAGTCCCGTCGTAATCGGTCCAGCCGCTTCGTAGATTCGCCGAAACAAACAGACAAAAATTTTAAAAATTGTGTTTTTGTTATAAGTATCGTATATACTTTCATATGCACTTAGTAAAAAGCTGTTATTTTAACATTACAAACAGACACTTCAATTTTATTTATTTGTATAGATAATGTTAAATCAAAAATAATGGTAACCAAAATACAAAGGAAAAAAATTAATAATTACCATCTTCTGAAGAACTTTCCAATAAGACAACATTCTCTTCATTTATCGAGTCTTCATTCTGTATTTTATCTTGTGACTGACTATCCAACAGCTGGGGCTCATTAACTGTGTTAATTTAAACATAAAACTTCAATTTCTATTAAACTAGCTACGTAACCCGGTGTTGTCCGCCGAGTAAGCATACTAATGTGATATTATTAAAATTATAATATCAATTTATTTTTTTACATGAGCCGTGGTAGCTCAGTGGCTAAGTGCGAGTTCAATCCCCACCAGCACCAATGAAATTGTATTATAAGTGCTGATTTACGAGGTGCTCGTCGATGAAGGAAAACATCATGAGGAAATCTGCATGCCTGAGAAATTGTAAAAAAATATACTTCGAACATATGTGAAGTTCACCATTGACGGTGAAATACTTCATTTTAGTAAGATTTTCCTTAGCTTTTGAGTATTATTTTTCTCTATTATATTTAATATTAAAAAGTAATACCTGGTTCCTCTTTCACTTTAAGCAAATGTGTTTTGCTCTCATCGTTATCTTTATCTAACAGTGATTTTAAAATCCGACACTCGATGGTGTCCGCTGTTGTTTGCTCTATAACTTCGTCAGTTGCACCTGGAACCTACAAAATAAATGAAAATATTTATTTTTTGCTCAATGCAGATTTTTCGATTGAGATATTTATATTTGAGGTTTACACAAGACTCCTTCATGAAAGTAACGTACATTTTGAAAACCGATTCAAGCGACAGTAGTGTAATAGTTAAAGGTATAGCCTGCCAGTTGGGTATCTATGAGTGAATTCGAATCTGCCATTCAACTACTGTCGTGAAGTACCTTTGACACAAGCATTTTGTCCATAACTGAAGTGGTTACAGAGAATATAATTAATGCCTAAAGCCCTAGGTGGCTAGTGCTAGCTAGCTATTTTTTATTAAATGCATATAATTTCAAGGAAACTTAATTTATTTACAATAATAACTGATAAAACTAATATGATAAAATAATAATTGGGGTTTAAGATGAAATGTGTCACATTAATCTACAAACTCTATCTGCACACAGTAGTCACTAACAGATAAGGTTCTAGTTGCTGACGGATAGAGCATAATGTTTAAAAAAACTCTAAAACCAAATTTCACAGTAAGGTGTATACTCCCCAAACCGAAAATCAAAATTGGAATTCTTCCAACAATGCTTGTCAGCTGGCACATTATTAACTTACAAAGTGAATATTGTAACTGTATTCATTTATTCATTCATTTGTTAAAGCCTGTCATAAGTCCACTGCTAAGCATAGGCATCCCCCATAGATTACCTCATAGGAAGAATATTTGCTATGGTTGCCACATTTTTGGTTAGTTAGCAAACCGAAGTTTTTTATAACTTTGAGTCCTTATCGCGAAGATGCTGCTGCCCACCCCCTGGTTCATTTCCTTATGCCGCCTATTTCGACACCCACGTGACGATATGGAGTAGGGGTGGGGAAGTGAACTCTCTCATACCGCCAATACCCGGTTCATACCAGCTCTAATGTAATGTAACTGTATAAAACATTAAATGAAATACATTAGAACGCTGATTATCCTAACGCCGATTAACCGAATCGCCAATTGTCCGAATAGGTCCTAAGCGTGATATAAAAAATTAAAACAAAGTACTGTAAGTAAGTAATGTTACTTATTTACAGTACTTCTTTATTACATACCAGTCTATGTCCGATTATCCGAATTTTCGACTATCCGAATCGACCCCGATCCCCATTAATTCGGATAATCGGCGTTCTACTGTATTGAGTTAATAAAATTTTACTTACAATCTTGTCAGCAATTTGTTCTTCCACTTCAGCATTGTCACCAGATTTTATGACATGTGATGGCTATAAACAAAGTATAAGATATCACAAAACATTCAATAAAAGTCAACAGTAGGCATCAACTTAAAGGTATAATAGGTTGATCAAAGGCCTGCATTTGTTTAGGATTATTAGGAAATCACTATTACTCACAAATGAAGTGTGGGGATTTCCAACTCTTTGTGCAGCCAAAAGAAGTTATATCGACAATAGAAGGTTAATGTGTGGCTGGGGTGGCCCATGGTGCCACAAAGTAATTTTTTGAAAATTCTTAATTTATAGGAATACAGAAAAACACTTTTAACAAATCCATTTCATTATGATTAAACTGTAATATGTAATAAAAAATAATCACAGTACATTTCATCATAAACCAAAAAAGTCCCGAACAGCATTTTTAATTAAATCCTGGATGAACTCAAGATTATGATGAAATCTCCATTTTGACATATTCCTGCTTATTATCAAAACCCTGATTTCATCAAAATCCTGGACACATAGATTTTCATACTTCAAGTTTACTCAATTTCTACTTGATTTCATTCTTTTCGTTTCTTTATTATTATTGCAAAGCTGAACCATTTGTGTTAACATCAATTAAGGTTTATTTATATTATGTAAACTTTTATTATACTATGCCATTTCCATTCATCACTTAGTAAAAAAATATAAAAGAGTTTAAATTAAAAAAGGGTTTCTCAATATTGTAAAAGTTATGGTGTTATCAGACTACTGCCCAATTCGAGTGCATGTTGGCAAGAGTTTTATGGACATAAGGATTAAATTGGTTCAAGCTATTTATATGGATTTTGTCGATATAATTTAAGCATTTGTTTAGTCTTTTATTAAGTAGAATTGAAACAGGTAATGGGCAGTATTATTTTCCTTCATACAACCTAACATTTGTGCATTAAAATGTCTAAATGTGGACATCGACACCACCCCTTTAAAACTATTGGTGATTAAATTTCAAAAAAAGAGGAGCATTGCAATTCAACTGTATATTTTACTGTGAGCTATAAGGCCAGTCCTTTGCCACTTCAGCATACTAAGCTGTTGGGTTATGTAGGTTACTCTAACTCTACTGCGGATATCCTCATTTCTAAGTTTATCATGCAGAGAAACCCCGAGCATAGCCCTCTCTATAGCAGGAAATTGATGGATGCAGGTGGCTCAGAACCGTGCTTTGTAGCATTCCTTGGGGGAGGCCTATATTCAGCAGTGGACTTGTGAAGGGCTGTAATGATGATAATGATGATGATGCAATATCTTCGTTAATTGTGACCCAATTACCAAAAAGGAGAAAAACTGAAACGGGACATGACCATATTCCTGATAACTATTAAAAATAATAAAAACTTAACAACTGGGGTTGCAAATTCGCCTCCTAATCCTAAGTGTAGCAAATATGGAAAATACCACCCCCCTCCCCTTTACTCACTCATCAATGGTATGTATATATCCAGTAGTGGATTTGCTGGTAAACAGTGATTGTTTTGATCACAAAAATCAGCAATCAACATTATTTTTTTTATATGAGTGGAATTTTATATTAAAACTGGAATTTTAGAAGATAATGTATATAAAACCAGTTTTATTTAAATGTATGGTGATCACATAAACATAAGAAATCAAAATATATGAATATTTAAGTTACTAACATCAGAAAGTTCAATTTCCGTTTTGTTGTCTTTTTCATTTTTACTGGAAACATCTTCACTCTTAACATCACTTATTTGCACTTCACAATCTTCATTTGCCTTACTCTTTACTAAAGGTGTTTCTGATAGTTCTCTTTCTGTTGAGTCTTGTGCATCATCAATTTCCATTTGAACATTTTTAGGCAAGTCTGTCTCATTCTTCTTCTCATTAGAATCTTCTGAGTAGTCAGCTATCATTTGATTACTACTCTCTACAAAACCAAAATTACAGTATACCAAAATTAAAAAAGTTAAAAAAATATTCTAAGAAAAATTAAAAATATTTAAGTTTTATTTACATAGAAAAAGAGTGACAAACAAACAAACAGTCCACCTGATGTTAAGTGGATGCTGTGGTCCATAGATATCTACATGAATGTTCAAATTAGAATCAAAATGCAGATGCATTGTCACCCCTGAGGACTAAGAGAGAATGCCACTTTTCCAGTAAAAAGGTTTTTCAGTTCTCTGCACTTACTATACGAAACATAGCAGCATTAAGCTGGAATTCTGTTAGTGTGGTCCTTTCCCAGTCGAGCCAACCCATTCATGCTGCAGTCATAATATAGCTGCAGCATGGCTCTACCACATATAAAGATCACTTTTAAGTTATTATATTTAAGAAATATTAATTTAATAGTTACCTTCATCTTGGTCAAAATCTTCATCATCATCACCATCATCATCGTCTTCTTGCTCCTCATCATACTCCAACACTCTTGTTGACTCTGCTAAAAGACCAAGACTATCAGAAACCTCACCCACTTCATCAGAGTCTCTTCTCATTTCCATGATCATACAAGCTGTAGAAGTTGATGGTTGTGATTCATCCTTTACAGATGTGACATTTTGCTCGCTATCTAGCAAACATGTTTGTTTATCTTGCTGTTCATTTGATTCAGTTATTTCTTGAATTGGTGTTGTTTCCAACTTTACTTCTGCTTGGTTTTTACAAATCGACTCAATATTTATTTGATTACATTTAGTAACAGTTTCTGTTTGGTCACTGCTTTTATAGGGCAAGTCTGCTTGTCTTTCCATAGCCACAGTATCCTTATTCTTATTTTCTGATTTGATTTCCATATTTGAAGTTGCAATTGCATTAGTTTTCAATAGTTCATTATAACCTTGATTTATGTTTAGAACATCTGTATTAATAGTTGAATCACTATTTAATGACTGATTGTTATTTACTTTTCTCCCATTTTGTAGATCATCATTATCAGTTGCATCAGTATTTAGTGATTCTTTCATACTATTTTGCTCAACATTTTTAACATCCTCATTAACAGTTGCATTAATAATTGACGATTCATTCTTACCAATTTGTTTCACATTTTGTTTATCTTCGTTTATAGTAACATCTATATTTAATGATTCATTATTACTGGTTTGTTTTACATTTTGTCTATCATCATTCACAGATAAATCAGTATTTAATGACTCACTATTAATAACATTTTTCACCTTTTTTACTTCATTAATAGTTGCATCAGTATTTAATGATTTATTACTACCAATTTGTTTCACAATTTGTATATCATTTATAGTTGTATCGGTATTTAAAGGTTCACTATTACTGACTTGCTTCACATTTTTTACATCTTCATTAACAGTTGCAGCAGTATTTATTAATTCTTCATTATCAACTTGATTGACATTTTGTTTATCTTTATTAATCGATGCATCAGTATTAAATGATTCATTAACACTTGGTTGTTCTTGTTCATCTTCAATACTGGTTGCCTCAATGTTTAATGATTCATCATTAATAAATTGTTTCTCACTAGGTATATCCTTATTAATAATAGGTTCAGTATTTAATAATTCATTACCACCCATTTTTTGCACATTTAGTACACCATTGTTAATAGTTGTAACTATATTTAATGATTCATTATTACTAACTTTTTTCAATTGCTGCGCATCTACATTAATGGTTGCATCAGTATTCAATGATATGTTATTATCAGTATGTTTAATATTTTGTACATCTTTGGTGACACATATTTCCATACTCCCATCATCCGGAGACATTTCCAAATTACTTAAAAGATCTGGTCCATCATCGTCATCATCCATACATTCAATTAATTCCTGTGTAGGTATTTCTAACATCATATCAGGTTTTTTCAGGCCATGTTCTGTTATAATTTCTGCAGAAGAATCTAGGACTGAAACCTCCGACTCTACCTTATCCTCTTCATTATGATTTTTAGGAGAATGTGTTATTTCCAAGTCTACTCTAATATTTTTGTTACTTTGTGAACTTTCAAATAATCTTTTTGATGCAACATCCATGTTTATTTGTTCTTCAGGCAATATTTTAACATTAACTCCACAAGAATCAACTTTTTCCTTCATACAAGTAACAGCATTACCTGAATCTTGCATTTCCTCCCAATCTAAATTTAGCTCATCATCATCATCATCATCATCATCCCATCTCAACTGTATCTCGTCATCTTGCATATCACTATTATTTTCATCATCTGTAAATGGTTTTATCTCAGTGTCAATGGCCGATTTGGAATCTAAATTTTGTTTACAAGATTTTTCATCATAAATAATTTCAGATTTTTTAATTTCAGGTGGTGGTACTAATGGATCTATCTGAACAGGTGTTGATAGTAACTGTTTGTAATTGATTTCGTCCTTCCTGTCTATAGTACAAGCTGTCTTACTTTTATTACTTACACTTTGCACAGACTGTTCCTCAAAATTACTCTCCATATTATCATTAATCTCATCAGCCTGAATTACACAATCGGTATAACTGTCACCAGAAGTTCGTGAAACACCATCTTCTGACTTCGATAAATCTTTATTTCGAATACTATCTTGAACTGTATTTATAACTAAATCTCGTTCAGGATCCATGACTGAACAAACTTTTTGTCTTAAGATCCAATACAACGAATATAAATCATGTCATTAAAGAATTATTTAATAATAATAACCTTTATAAACCATATAAATCGTGAATATCAGATTAGTTATAATTTTAATCACTTTTTTTATATCACCCCAAACAGAAACGGCACGGCAAACGCATCTAAATGACAATTGTTAAATTGACACTTGACTTGACAGTAACTTTTGTTTTTGCTACATATTTATTTGTCTATGGTTACTTTACTCACAGACTAATTAATAGATTTGAGTTTACTCTTATTAGTTTGTAACTTTACTTGACAATTTTTTTTCTTTGGTCCTTAAAAGTAGAGATGAAGCGTATATACTAGAACAGATCCAGGCACTAGAAGTGTACCGACACGGCAAAGCAAGATAGCATTTTCTTGCAGTAGTTACTGGTCCCCTTTGCTACTCACACGTATTTGCTTAAATCATTTGAATTTAAACTATATTTGAATGTATATAAAAGTAACACGACGCTCACTCGTGTTGTGCAAGAATATATTCTGACCTTTATTAACTACACTATTTTGCAGTCTTTCTGTCTTTTTCTATCAATACTCGAGGCTAGTCTTGGCTAGTCTCGGGGACTTCAATCAAATACTAGGCATTTTATACACTAGGTACTTGTAAATACTCGATGCGAATGGAGACCATATGATGCAGTCGAGTGCCTAGTACGGACTCTATACGAATGTGATATCAGCACCGTATTGATACCTACTCGACTTATTTTGCAATGGGTTTTCATAACGATGTTTTGTTATGTGGTTAAAGAACTTTCGATTTATTTTTATTTAAACATTAAAGTGTATGGCTCAGTGTAACATTTGTGAAATGTAATTTAGTTTTAAAAATTCTTTGATTCTTTTTGCGCGTATATTAGAAACTATGATTGTAGATAGGTAATTAAAAAAATTAAACAATAATAATTAAAAAAAAATAAAGGAATAAAAGACAAATATCGGTTTTCTCGAAAAAAAATGAATTGAAACCTTTTAAATTCACCAACAAACTAAAATTTTATAAATAAAACTAGTTTTACGGATTTTATCACGTATATTAACTTATTTTATATTCCCGACGTTTTGAGTATTTTACAGCAACAATGGTCGTGGGGAGGGAGGGGGGGCTGAGGTGTATGACGTCCCAATGTCATAGATAACCACGGCTACCTCCAGATTAAAAATTATTCATTTTTGTTCCGATCTATGTAGTATGAAATTACAGTGTCTTGAAGTCTTACAGTTGTATGCTTGGGTTGGGATTTAATTTTATTAATTTTAGGATCCTAAGTAGAGGGTTGCACCCAGCCATCTTCTCTATTGAAATTAGGATGTTTTTTTTATTTCAATAGCCTCGCGAAACATCCTTAGAAGGAATCGGTGTTCTTTAGCGAGAATTTGTGGTCTTTCAAATCTAATATAGTGATGGGGGCGATTCTTTACATGTTCACAGACTGCAGACTTCCCGGAGCGTCGATTCTTTACATCAAATATGTGTTCTTTAATGCGGGTTTTTATTGATCTTTAAATTTTTTATCTGCGGTGGTTAACTATGACATTGGGACGTCATACATCTCAGTACCCCCGTGGCCATGGGTGCTGTAAAGTATTCGAAACGTCGAGAATATAAAATAAGTTAATACACGCGATAAAATCCGTAAAACTAGTTTTATTTAGTGTTTGCGTAAATATAAGAAATCATAACAATCTATAATATCAATAAATCTTAACGTTTACAGTCCTAAGCCTGTACAAAGTATGAATGAATGATTGATTACTATTCATTGCCTTCACTTATCGGCTGTACCTAAAAACTAAGCATACTTTAAAGTGTAAGCTATTCCAATAATACCAAACTTTATGCGTGCTTCATGGTACACAGAACAGGTACAGTACAAAACAGGTATTTGGATCAAATATTTGTACGGAGTTGGACTAAGTGTACCCAGTACAAAATTTACCTAGTACAACCCATCTCTACTTTAAAGCATAGACCAACTTCTTACTAGTTTGTGGCATAGACGTAGGATAAAGTATATTCTAGGTCTATGCTTATAAATGCAATCCATAGAGCAATATATGCAAACAATGCTTAAGCATCATATTAATTAATTTAAATAGCACATTCCAAAAATATTATTTAAATTGCACCCATGCAGTTTATAAATAAAAAATTGGTAAATACTCAACTTATAACATCGATATAACTTAAAATAATGAGAAATGGGTACTTTTTGCAATATGAAAAACTGCACCCTGCTTGACGTTAAAAATACAATATTAAATGCAAAAAGATAATAAAACCAAATTTGCGAAGAGCGTATAATCACTAAGTGTAATAGGGATTGGGACTTCCTTATTAAAAGTAAATGTATGAAAGGGCGCTAAGCTACTTTGCCAACATCAAGACATGACATTTAATCACCCCCCCCCCCCCCCAGCCAGCGAATTTTATTGAATTTGGAGTATAGGTATATAAAAAATTCTGCCAGACCTATTTTAAAAATAAACGTCTAAAAATATTAATATAAACTGCACCTACATATATAGTTTATAAAAAAAAAACATATGTGCAGGTCACACGTGGTGGAAGTGAAACCTTCAGAAAACTAAACTTCGGGAGAATTTTAAATATCGTTAATTGACACAAGTAGCTTATGGAACTTGTGGTTAAGTAAAAGCTGCGCGGAACAATAGATCTGCGATAAGTTGCACTTGCCGCGGTTAGTCTGAGAATGAGTTATCATTTTCTTAACAGAACTAGAATGAGAGAATAAAGAGAGCATCTGTATCCTCAGACACTTGATGCACTTTACTCTGTTAAGATCATTATGTTTTTAAAATTTATGCAGCTGAAATGATAATACATTTATTATTACTTTATACTTTTCAGGGACAGACGAAAAAATATAAACATGAAGCATGATGAAGTCCCATAAACATATTGGCCTTTAAACAGAGCAATCTTATTTAACTAATTCCTACAAGTTTCCTTACTTAAATTATTAAGTTTACGTTAATATTTAAGTCGAATGTTAAAATAAACTTCTTTTATGTATTTAATTATTAATTATAAAACATTTGTAAGTATCAAAAGTAATACTTATATGAAAAATAAAGCAGTCGTTATGTACTCCGTGTCCTCGTTTTTTATTTCCCCATCAAAACATTTTATAAAATATAAATAGGTAAATACTTAATAAAGTATCTACCTATTTATATTAACAATGTTTTAAAAAAGAAATTACGGGGAAACTGTCCATGGCAGTAAATATTTATCTTCAATGATCATAGCTTGAAAATACAACTTTCCGATCTGATTCTTGGGGAGTTTTTTTTAAGTTTATCGATAGAGTCACCTGGGAGTATTTTCATTTGAATTAAAATTCAACAAAAGGCAGGTAGGTTCAGCTTATTCCCAGGAACATGTTATATGAATGTTTTTGCACTATATTGCTAAATACTCTGTTAATTTTTGAAGTTATTCAATTTCGCGCTCTAAACTATTTTTTTTAATGTTTTCACCGCTTCCTTAACAATCATTTTTCGATAGTCCTTGTAAGTCAAATGTACATTACAAACTAACGTTTTTTTTTACTTTAGCTACGTTTTACGATGATACGGAACCCTTCATGCGCGAGTCTGACCCGCTTATGGCCGGTTATTGTGGCTTAATTATGTATTATTACTTAAAAATATCTTAAAACGACAGTTTTAATGAGAAGTTGTGATTGTCAATATGAGAAAATCTTTATTGATGGGATCGATCGAGTTAAGTAGATTGCTATCCTGTTTAATAATAAGAGCTTTGGCCTTTTACTCTTCAAGAATTTGTTCTAGATTTGCCATTTTTATTTTTAGACGCCTTGCTTTCTGACGAAGAGCGCGCACCATTCTCAATCTCTTCTCCGACAGATTTTGCTGCTGT